CCCTTTGCTTTGACAACTTTCTGCGAACCACAAAAACTCCACTCATTACCGTAAGAGAACGTGGTCACCAGAAAAGCCCTGTGGCAATAGCCCTAACATTCAACAGTTGCATGGACAATGATAACACGTGGAGGAAAAAGCACTTTCTGCACTTCAGTGATACTTGTGTGATCCATATGGCAGCACTGCTGGGTGATGCCAGGCCTGAAGGAAAACAGGCCTAGAGCTTTCATTTGAAAGATTTTTTGGAAAAAGGGAAAGCGCTGAGGATTTGTTCCTGTGAAATCACTTTGCTCCCATCAAGACCAGGGATCTGACCCTTCTCCTGCTTTTGCCACATGAGACTCAAAGCACTTAAATAAAGGAATTTAATTAATTCACAGAACCCAAATCTCCTCTCCCCAGTGCCCTTACAGACTGCAACATTTACCCATATCACAACATTGGCAGCCCAGAATATGGATGACAGTAATTTTGCTCCCAGGCTTCCATCAAGACCATTGCCCTCCAGGCAAGTGAGAGGTGGGCAAACCTTGGGTCAAACTTTGCTTTCCCAAGGAACTATTTTTGCTGTCATAGCTATGAACCTCAACACTTACATCATAGAATTTCTTCACCATGTCCAGCTGGATTTTATCAAAGGTATCATAATCACTTTCTTCAACCATCTTATCCCGATACACCCGGTTTGCCTCATGCAGGTAGATCTTCACTAGATCTTGGGGTTGTTTCAGGCATTCGGGGGTTGAAAACAGAAGGCCCTGTGGAGAGCAGAGACAGTCAGAAAATCCAGTTGTGCCCCTAAGGGACTGACCTCACCCACAGCTTCCAGGCTATCATGCTAGAACGGGGCTGAATCACTCTAAAGGCAGAGTTATCAGAGCAACCTGCAGCTGAACATCTGAAGTTGCAACCTGCAACTTCCCTACTCAACAGCCCCCGGAGAACCTGCCCTTCATTGCCCCCAGTCTCCCAGAGCAGTTTATATTTTTTATGTTCATTTTGATGAACAGCATCGCCGATGCCACCTGGCTGGGCTGGCAGTCCTCATCTCAGCAGCAAAGAACACGCACAGTCAGGCACCAGCCCAGACGCATGGCTTTTTGCATGCCCACACCACACCATGGGTGCTTTGTCAAGAAGAAAAAATAATTTGGAAATTTTAGTGGCAATGATTTTTTTTTAATCAATTAATTTTAATTAGGTGCATTCTGCCTGCAAGAAATATTAGTTACTGTCCGCTTATCACAGTATGTTTACCATGAACTCTATTAAAATGCATAAAAGAATTATATTTCAAGGAGGTGACGCCTAATCTGTTAATAGCGCACAGGGTTTTCAATGGCATGAATTAAATGCACAGCTTTTTTTCTTAACATCTAATTATTTAGATATAAAATATAAAATGTATTAAAAGCAATGTAAAGCAGTCTCTGTCAGCTCACTGGCCCATGGCTCAAATTGTTCGGGTTTCACATTTGTCATTACAGCTGCCAAACTGTTTTTTTATTTATTTCAGAAAAAAAACAGTAAGTGAGAAGAGCTGACAACTCAAAGAGAGAAAGGTGAAACCTGCCAGGTCCTAAACTGATTTTAAAAAAAAAAGAAAAAAAAAAAAATACTCAGTCACTCTAAACACACCTCAAGCCACGAAAGTTGTGTTGTTGATGCAAGCACCTGTAAGGCTATCTCAGAGGAAAGAAAATCCATGTTTCCCAAATCTGTAATCACTTTATTAACTTAACGGCTGAACATCTCCCCTTTTCTCGCTTTGCAGACATGACCCTCCTTGCTCCTCTCAGCAGAGCGACCAGACTCTTCCATGAACACAACCAGCTGCGTCTCCAAAGAACAACGGGGATGCTCCATGTGTGTGGCTGAGCTTCCAGAAGATGCCCTGGTGGTTGTGGCTGGGATGCATGAAGGATGCATGATCAGGGGCCACTGCATCTGTGGTAGGCATGGTGCCAGCATGCAAAAAAAAAACCTCTAAAAAAATGGATAATCCCTTGCCCTTTGCCAAGTTTTATCCATCTGGCTGTTGAGTCCTCAGGCTGTATTTCAGCCAAATCTTGCAGCTTCTCATCCTTTGCCAGAAAGGCCAGAAGCTGATTAGAAAGTCCTCTCCACCCCACCGAGGCTTCTCTAGGCAATGATATCAAATATCATGACACTGGCAATAAAATATCAAAACACCAGAAGATGTCTTTGCTGAGAGGAGCAGCTGTGCCCATCGGGGTGTGAGGGGATTGCCACCACCCTGCCGAGGAGCACGGAGCTGGGCTGTGGGGGAACCACCACCCTCCAGCCAAGACTCATCATATCAGGATTTATTACCGGGTAATTCTGAGTGACAGTCTCCTCAGCAGTTTAATAATCACCCCAGGAGATGATGTGTATTTGGCATGGAAACGAGGAATATGCTAATCATCCCAGTAAGGCTTGTCTGCCGTGTTGTCATCATGCATCAACGTGCCAGTGGAGACGGGCTGTCGCGGCTCTGATGAGGCAGGACCTGACCTCAGCTAGTTACTTGGTTTTGTCCCCATGATGTCCATGAGAAGGAGGAGAGTAAAGGGCACCCGTGGCCCCATCAGCCTGCCAGGGAGCGTGTCCCCTCCCAGCAGGACCTCACATGCTCTGCACCCACACAGCTGTGCTCGGGAAAGTCCAGGAGATATATCTGCCGCCCATCAGCGTTCTGCAAACAGTGATGAGGATCAGTCAGCTAACGCTTTGCAACATCAGCACATCTGGGCAGTTAGCAGCCCTGGCCTGGGGCAGGACAATTCCCACCATGGCTCCATAAACGAGTCCTAGCCCACAGCAGTGCCTCAAATATGGTGTTAGCACTGTCCGCTGACCAGGAATTGTCTCCAAAAACCATCTAGCCCAGCCACACGTTCCAGCCAGCTCTCTTTAGTTGTATCCCTGTCACACAACCATTGGTTCTCCACGAAACTTCAGAAGCCTTCCATGCAAGAGCAGCTTCCATGCAATACCATTTGCTTCATCTGTAAGTTCAGGTGGTCTAGATTTAATTTCAAGCCACTCACCAATAAAAGGATCGCTCATTTTTCTACAGTGAGATGCACAGCTCTGGGACTGCCCACAACACCAAAATGTCCTATATCACATGGCTAAATGATTTCTGGCAGTAGAGCAGCTCTTCAAAGAAGATATTAGAAGTCAAATGGTCTGATGGTCCAGTGGAGAGAGACATTTCAATTTTTGTTTCTCTTCGCACCCTAACACGCTCTCAGGAGCATGCGTGGAGGAGATGTGTGCTTTGTCTTTGCATGGAAACATATTGCACATAGAAACATATGTCGCCAAAAGAAACAGAAGAGGCCTCGGCACATACAAGACAATCATGGGAAGTCAAAGATTTTGCAGACTGCTACCTAGAGTGCAATAAAACCTACATGTACAGAGAAGCTGAATGTTTGGGTATAAAACAAAACATAACAAAACAAAACAAAATAAAATCAAAAGCACCAGAAACATTCAAGCCATTCTGGCAAAGCCTGCAAAACTATAACACGTCAGGAAATCAGAGTCGGAAGCAACATAATGTGAATTCTGGACACTAGGCTTGCTAAAGTGATTATTTCCATTTCTAAAGCTTTGCATCCCGCAGGGCTCCCTGCCAGCAGGCTGGCTTCCTGCTAGTGCTGTTACGGGTGACCCAGAGAGAGGAGTGAAGCACCAGGACGCACGGGACAGCCTGCCCTGCCCACTGGGCTGGGAGGCAAGCGCGGGGGTGAATGCGAAGAGAGAGCTAACACAGTCCCACAGACGGGGAGCTCAGAAGGTGACACAACAGAAAACATCCCAGGCATAAAAAGGTAAAAAAAATAAATTACCTTTTTCTCTTTTCAGTCTAAATAACATTTAAAATAATAAAAACTTGTGCTGCGTAATTACCTCTTTCCAGCCATCCTGAGCTGTTGCTCTAAGCACATTGCTCACCTCTTTCCTGATGTAACTTTTGGGGGTCCCAGGGTAGCCTGACCTCTTTGAGGACAGTGATGACGTGCAAATGGTGACAACCACAGTATTACTATCAACAGCATTTGGGCCACGAACCCAGAGTCCTATTTAAAGACATTGTACCAATTTCAAAATATGCTAATCAGGGTGGATTGATGAGGGGCTCCAGCCACCCCATTGGCATCGCATACTCGTCTGTGGCTGCTGCCTGTGGTGGAGTAGCCCATAACCAGCCCCTGTTAGGAAGAGAAATAGCAGAGAGTGCAAGACAGAAAGAGGGGGAAACTCTGAAACCAGACTGGCTCAGGCAGCCAGATCCCAACCAAGCCCAGGGCTCAGTCATGCCAAACAACTGGGCCAGACCAAGGAATGAGATGAAAGTGCTGCCGACCCCACATCAGTCCCCCCTCCAGCCACACACCAGCGGGCAATGCACAAGGTGCTTTTTGGGATTTGCAAGCCTGAAGTTTGCAGGGCTCTTTAGCAAGTTCAAGCAGAGTTAAATATGAAAATCCCTCCCTGTGCAAAGGAGTGTGAAGTCTGCTGGACGCTAAAGACCGCGTGGAGGTGAAGCTCAGCTGGAGCAAGGCATGCCGGAGCCACTGCTATCATCTTGCTGTCAGGAAGAGAGAGATGCTGTTCCTCCTCAACTGCTGCGCATCTTAATGTGACATGCTGCTTGAAAATCTTGTTAGAAATGGGAATAAAAAGCAAAATACGACCCTGCTGAGTCTATGATTATTATTTTACAGAGATGACAGATATAATTCAGAGCATAATACCATGGTAACCCTTTCAGATGGAAAAAAAAGACAGCGACAGGGTTTTCTCTGAGGTGAGCCAGCAGGGAATATATTTTTAAAAAGCATAATTCACAACTCTGTCACTGCAGAAACCTGTCTTCTTTAATCAAGGGTAAATTGCCTGGAGCGTACCAATCAATTTAGCTCTGCAGTGCATGGTGGGTCCCAGAGGCATGAAAAGGTGCCATAGAAATGCAAGCCAAAGTAGTGTTGGACTTTAACCACAGAGAGGACCCACTACTTTCCCCCAGAGGGAAAGTAACAGATAACGCCTTCTGATGAGCCCAGAGGATTATAAAGGGCTGAGGGTGACCTTGCCCCTGCAATAGTAACATCAGTGCAAGGACAAGGAACTATGGCTGCCATTCCTTCACATCATGCCTAGTCCTACTCCAGCCCCTTCTTGCTCATCATCCTGGACTGTGGTTTCCAGCCTCTCCTCACCCTGAACATTTCCAGCAAGATGTGACAGCAAATTTAAGGTGTTTATTATAGATAGGTTTTACAGTACTTGCTGAGCCTTCTGTAACCATTCAAAACCAGCTCATGAGCCCAGGGGATTGAGGATGATCATGGATTTTGAGGCTCCTTGTTTTTCTTTTCCAAAATTGGAATGGAGCATCCTTCAATCCAGACCCAGTGGGTTTCCAGGTCAGCAGTGATCTGAATATGTTTGTGTGCTCATCAGAGAAACCATGCCATGTGCTGGCTTCCTTCTCCCCTTCTTCACCCACAGCCCTTCTGCCAGTCCCTACCTCCCCAGAAACTCATGTTCCCCACTGGGGAGCCAGCCCCTCCATGGTGGGCACACACACGTTACCCTGGTGCCACACAGGAAAGACCGGCTTGTTTCTATGTGAGAGCCTGAACCAAAGTTCCACCCCATGGCTCTTGGCCAGCTGATGCCAGAGAAGGACTGGCACCACTGAGGACAGTGCTGAGACATTTAGGGTTGTCCTGCTGTGAGTGAAGTACAGAGGAAAAAATCAAGTGAGAGCAGTGGATAAAATCATGATTGTGTACAAATGCCTGGGATTTCCCATGACCTTCCCAAGTCAACACAACTAGATGGTTCATCTCAAGGGACACCTACTCTACAGCCAAGGGAGCCTCAAAAGCATCACAGCTCAAGCAGTTTGGACAAGACACCCACATGGGGCAGGCAGATACAACACAAAGACACCTGTTTCTTTGTACAGCCTCTGGAGTCTAGGTGGGATGTCCTAACATGTTTCAAAAAGCACTAGACATCCACACTTGGGCAACAGAGTGAAACCCCACCTGTGCCCCTGGCAGGGGGAGCTGGACAGCCTTCTGCCCTCCCCAGCCTTGGGAGAACCTAGATATCATCACACACCTGAATCTGAGCATCTTAAACTGGAGCCAAATTCCACCTTAGACCCGCAAAGCACGAATGACTGACAACAGGACAGTCACCTCAGACTCCTTTCACCTCCAGTCAATGAGGTGCTCCACAAACACAGTTCCTCTGAGCTCTTCTCCATGAGAAGAGAATTCCATGTGTGTTTTCATGTTTCCGTGAGGATAAGCTGAACCTGAACTACACACAGAAATGCCTGTTTTTCTCTGCTGAGGGAGAGGGCATGACTAGGCAGGCAAAAAGGATTCCCACTAAAGATGCTCAGATCCCCAGAGATGATCATTCCAATTAGTCAGGACAAACATGAAGAGTGTTTGACAAAGTCAGCCCACTGCTGCCAGTCAAGTCTTCAACCCCAGGGTTTATAGGTTGCTCTTTTTCCTTTTGGTTTCACCAATACCTTTATTTGTCTAGATAAAGCTCGCTGGTGTTTTGCCATCATTTGGAATGAACACCTCCTGGAGTCACCTTCAGCTGAACCCTCACACCCAACAACACACATCAGCCTGATCAGCTCAGGCCAGGTGGCAATGGGTATTGGGTACAGAAGGACAAACACGAAAGCAATGAATCCGCATATCTGTCTGCTGAAAACATTAACTACTGACTTGTTCTGCGCAACACTCACGTGCATACCAGGTCTAAACTCATTTATTCTTCATTGGCTGAAGCAATTAAGATACGGGTTCTTGGAGTGTTTTGTAATGAGACAATTAACACAGAACTCATCATAAAAGCTGTCAGGAAGTTTTGACAAAGGGAATCAAGTTGGGCTTGTAAGGCCCTACTTAAATGTTTGATATTCGCCTGGGTTTAAAAGGAATTTGAAAAAGGCATTATGCACTGACAAGTGCCTTACATCCACCAATTCTCATCTTCCCACAGGCCCTGGGAACTCAGATGGCCCTGCTTTTTGGGATTTGGTTGGTTGGTTGGTTTGGTTCCCTCTTTTTTTTTTTTCTACTTTCTTTTTCCCAAGATGCCATCACATCAAGCATCATAGAAGAACATGGACCAGATGGGTGGACTGCAATGTGGGTGGAGAACTGGCTGGACCACAAGGCTCAAAGTTCTAACTAGAGGCCAACTACCTACCAACAGTGTTCCTCAGGGGTTGGTAACAGGGCAGGATTAATATCTTCCTCCATGACTTGGGCAGTGCACTCTCAGCAGGTCTGCAGATGATGCTGACCAAGCAGAATGGTTATTACACTAAAGGGAGGGACCTTGACAAGCTAGAGAAAAGCTGTGTGAGGCTTGATCCACTTTTGTGTCCCCCAGTACGAAAAGGACATTGACATGTATGAGCAAGTTCAATGGAGGCCACCAAGACTGTAAAATGGTGGAGCACAGGACATGCAAGGAAAGGCTGGGAGAAATGGGTTTGTTCAGCCCAGGGAAAAGGCGAAGGGGCATCTTACTGCTGTCTACAACTACCTAATGGCGTGTTATAGAGAAGACTGAACCAATTTTTTTTTTTTTTGAAGGTGCATAGCAAAAGGACAAGAGGCAACAAACACAAATTGCAGGAAGGGAAATTACAATTGAAATAAAAATATATGAACTTCACCACAGGGTGGATTTAGCAGTGCAACAAGGGCCAGGGAGGCTATGGCAACTCCAGCCTTGGAAACATTCAAAACTTGTCTGATCAGCCTGACCTAACATTGAAATTAGCCCTGATAGAGCAGGGGATTGGACAAGAGAGCTCAAGCTAAATTATGAATATATGGAACACGTGGAAATGAATTACCAGAGTCCAGAGCTTCTTTCACACTCAATTTCAGGAAAAAAATTGTGTTCCAGCAGAGCTAAAACAGGAAATCAGGAGATCTCAAAACCTCAAGAATATTTAAGGTAAGGAATAAACAAGAATGAACAGCAAAAGATAAGGAAGGATTTCAAGAAAACTTGAACCATGATTTAAATAAACGTTATGAGTCCAAGAAGCCAGACCCCTGTGACTTCTGCAGCCATGTGATAAACAAAAAGGCATTTGAGCTCCTGTCACCGCTCCTACTCTCTGGCCCAGCAGATGTCAAAGGCTGCTGATGTTTAGCTGAGCACAAGTGACAAGCCTGATTCCTTCTTGACCCAATAGAATTACTAACTTTTTCAAGGTCCTGTTCTTAGATTTCCCATTGCCTGGCATTACTTCAACTCCTGTCTGAAGGACCAGACCACAAGGCACTGAACTTTCAGTACCTACTTTGTAAAACAGACGTTAATAAGGACAGCAACAAATTACAAACTGAGGTTTTACAACAGGTTATAGTATTTCAAACCTCTTGATTTGGCTACTGATAACGTTCTCAAACTTTATTAATCAGACTTAAACTCTGAAAGGCTCTTTGAGCAGTAATATCCACTGCTTCAAATCATGAGATTTCTAGGGGGAAAAAAAAATATCTCCACTGTTGGAAGAAAACATTTCTAAAGCTGAACAACTTCCCCTTGGCACAGAACTGGCTGCAGTGGTAACTCAGTTTCAACAATTAAGTCAAAGCTCGTTTTGATTTGTTTATCAACTCTTTAAATGCCATCCTTCATGCACGTGCTGAGTACCTGACCATCGAGAAACTAAGAGAATGTGCCAGTATAGGCCAACAAGCTGTACTGGCTCTAGGCAGACCAGTTGAGCTAGTTACTACTCTCCTATCTTCAGGGCCAGTAGCCCACTAAGTAGCCACCACCCGCTTCAGTGCAATAAAATAATTTCCCTGTGTGGTGAAGCAGTGCCATTAATCCCTACGTTTACTCATGTGGAACTGAGGCTCACAAAGACAAGTCCAGCTCCATCACACTCTTCAATGGTCACTTGTGCTGTGCTGAAGTCAGGAGCCCAGAGCTCCCTTCAGTTGGTCCCTTTTACAGCCAGAGGGCATTTCAACCCACCCGAAACCTGCACCTCCTTCTGGAGCTGTTCATCCCTCCCCATTGACCACAGGAGGCTGGAAAATAAACAAACTTCTAACTGATGTTCCTCAAAGCCATGGATGATGGCTCTGGAATCCATCCAAAAGCAATCAGGAATTAGGGGATGGCTCAAAGTCCTTTATTCAGGGGACACATGCTGTGTCATTGCTAGGCAGGAGACTGCATTTTGTTCACCAAGGCTAGCTGGGCCAGGGGAACACATGTCCACAGCCTCCCATGGCCTTGGAACAAGCTCCAAAATACCACAGGAAAACAACTGCACTTACCTGGAAGATATTGGAGAAGTCTCTCAGGTTGAAAACATAATGGAACTTGATAGCCGTTGGCAAGAAACTAGAAGCTACTTTCTGATGCAGTCCCAGGGCCAGGGCAATCAGCTGCTGAGCTGATTTTTGCACAGCCCCTGAGAAATTCCCACTTGTCAGGTGCTGCACTAAAATGGTGCTGTAGATCCTGGACAAGGCATCCTGACCAGGGGTGGAGAGAGCAAAGACACAGAAGTGACGCTGAGGAAGAGAAAGGAAGACATGGAAAGGTCAGAGATATGAACAACCACCTCTCAAGCAGAATACACTTGGGGACTTGATATGATTGGACACAGTGCTAGATAATCTCATCCAGGCTGCCTTTCCCATGAGCGGTTGGACCAGATGATCTTTTGAGGTCCTTTCTGACCTGGGATGCTCTGTGATTCTATGTCTTGAAGTCCACCTGAACAAGGCTATTTCCCTCTTCCATTTTCCCAGCAGAGGACAGTTGGCAAGTGACATCATTCCTCTCACTAAATAAGAGATTTTCAACTGCATTTCACATCTGCTATGCTGGAAGTTCAGTCCACTGAAGAGCTGAAGGACTCTGAAGGTCCCACTGACCTCTGATGAAGCCTAATTGCTGTCTCTGTTAGGAACAGACCCTACAAGGTGCTATGTCCTAGAAGCCCCCTTTATTGATTTGGAACCTGAAAAGACAGAGAAGATGCCCGTTTCCAGTCACACGATGCTTCTTTTTAACACAACAGAGTCCCTTGCTAAAGAGGATCCAGGGCCTGGGCTGACACTTGTCATGACATTTCTCCATGAGGGAATCAATTTGCCACCACCTGGACTCCCCAATGGCCATGAGGTCCCTGCCTGCCCTGTTACAAGCAGGATCTCTCCCTGCAGCAGCCACACCACCAAGTTACGGCTGCTCTTGCTTCGGCACCCGTTTCTCAGGGCATTTCTCCATTACTGCTCATGGGCCAAGCTTCCCCTCCTATAGCATGGCAAACCCCTGCCACACAGTGAGGAAGGGCACTGGCCCTCTGACTGCCGTTTGTCCCTCCTGGATGCCAACAGGACCAGCTCTGTGGTTTTGATCTGCAGGCATAGGGGACAGCCTCTGACCAGGCTCTGCCACTCCTCATACCTTGGAGAAAAGGGTAAGTAATCTCAGAACTACCACTCAGTTCCCAGACATCAAGTCCTGAGGTTTAAGATCTCTTCCCAAATCCAGACTTCTGTTACTATCAGCACTTGTACTGTTTTGGGGGGTGGGGGGTGGGAGTGGTGGTGTTTGTTTGGGTTTTCCACCTCCACTCTTCCTTTTAATGAGAATACACTGCCACCTCCATCAGGAAATTTTAGAAACCAAAAAGCTTTAATGAACTGTGTTCCAGAGAAAAACATGAGCTAAATGAAGGCAAAATCTGTCTGTATGAACCAGAAGGCTGTCCTGAAAGTAGGTGTTAATCGGGCTGGCAACTTGTGACTTCTTCCTCTGACTGAGCAGCAGAATGTGAGGAAAAACAAAAAAGGGAATAAGGGAATAAGTCTGTTGCTTCACCATTAGAAATTACGGTCACTTGAGAGACTCATGCCATTTCTACTAATAAAATGACAGCAGGATCTGCCAGTGGTTTTCCTCTGGCCTCACACTTAAGTAATCCACCCTAAAATGTGCCTGCTATTGCGCAGAGCTTTACCTGCAGACGCGGGTTGATGGTGAAACTCCCCGCAGTTGGATTCATGCATGACACGTACTGCACGTTCCTGATCTCCTTCAGTGACAGCTTGGTCCTGTCGTACCTTTGGGCAAAACAAAAGCAGTGGCACAGTGACCACAGCCTGCACAGCCCGGCACATGTCCATTGGCTGGCAATGTCCAGTTGTCTTCAGCTGGGTCAAATTCTGCATCTTGCCAAGGCAGGGCCCAGGCTTGCCTGCATGCCTGTACATGGCCTGGCACACACAAGCCTGGCTCTTGATGGAAATTTTTCAGCTTCAACAACCTGTAGCTAATATTTCGATAAGCCAGTACAAGCACTGAGCAAAGTTCACAGGTTGTACTTGCATGGAAATTGTAGAAAACTGTGGGAGTGCATCTGGGTCAAGCCAGCCTCGGACAGGGGCAAGCAGGCTGCTGCTGCCAGATGCAGCTGCCCACCCCCTGCCTACATGGGAAGGATGGGGAGGCTGCCAGCGGAGCCAGGAGTGCAGCCCAAGGAGCAGTCCCAGCAAGGGCCTACCCCCCTACCAGGGCCAGGACAGCCCAAGGGCTGTGGCAAGCTTTGCCCATCTCACTCCTCGCTATCCGCAGAGCGAACTGCGGCCCCACGGGCTGTGAGAGGGGACATTGAGTATGCAACACCCTGGCAGACGCTGCAGACAGCATGGGCAGAAAGCCTGGGCATGCCTTGGAGGGGGCACGTGGCGTGTTGTGTCCCCCGGTGCCTCCAATGCCCCCAAACAACCAGCAGAACCCTCTTTCTGCTCAACTTCCCGACATCCACAGCCAAAAATTTCTGTCTCCCGTCTGCTGTCTCCATACTTGGGAAGTTTTTGGCCAAGCTCAGGCAAGCATGCAGCTTGGGAGAATGGAAATTTCTGTGAGTCCCTGCCCTGTACTCCCCATGGGGAGAGGTGCAAATACTGCTGTCCCATGCAGTGTTGCTGGCTACAGTGTAAAATGCACCAATCTTCTTCCAAAACACTGTCACCGTTTTTCCTTCAAATTACCTCTGCCTAGAAAATGCTTATTTGCTGCTGCCTGACTGAAAACAATATTAGGTGCTCACAGCAGGGGCGGTTCACCCCAGCTGAGGCCAAATCCATGGCCTTCCTCCATATCACAGGGCATCGAGGCTGAGCATCATGCTCCCTTTGCGGGCTTTGCACTGGGACCACAGCCACAAGCTGCAGCTAGAGCAGAGCAAAGCTCCTTTCAGCCAAGCTGTAAGCAAGTGAGTTCATTTGCCAGGGAGAAGGGAAAGCACAATATGCTTGGTTCACTAAGAGCCAGCTCCAGGCCAGCCCAGGGGAACGTGATGGCAGACGCAGGATGGGAAGGGGGAACCACACTTTAATCTACTCTCAAACCCCATCCCCAATGCTGGAGCTAAACAAAAAGGTCTTGAATGGCCAAGCGCAAGCAGCCTCCTACCAGTGGCCATAGTCCAGGTGCTGTCTAATCAGTGTATGGGGCTGCACCGTGCCGTAAGCGTCCACTTCAGGCATGTTTAGATCATCGATGAAGTAGATAAGCTTCTTGGTACCTGGAGGGCCGTAATTTCTGCCAGCCTTCTTATCCAGAGGTTTCTCAAGCACACCTGTATGGAGGCAGAGGTGCAAAACTAAGCTACTGGGAGGGTCATTGCTGCAAAAAAAATTATTTTTCAACCCAGCTTGAATCCATGTTGTGTGTAGCTACAGCAGCCCCAGGAGGAGCTGAGCTATGCACAGGACAGGCAAGGGCTCATCTTGCAGCCCAGCTGGCATCTAGGCTGTTTATTGCTTTTTGGGGAGGAAAGGTCTCAGCACAGGGTGCTGCTTACCAGCAGGACGGTGGCTGTGCCCGAGCTGCAGCTACAGAACCATGGGGAGTCCTGCATGGGGCCGGCAGGGACCCTTGGGCAGCTCTGCGGTCTGACTCGACCCAAATCAGAAAGCTCCCAATTCCTCCTTTCAAACAAAATACATCAAAACTAGGTCTTCTGCAAAACAGGTCTACTTCAGACCAAGTAAAAACTTTTCATATGAGATAAAGCATTTGGAATCCCTTCTGCGTAGTTTTCAAAATGAAATCTTGCTTGCTGAGGTTATTCTGATCCATACAACAGAGCAGTGAATGTCCTCTGCTGCCCGCCCCAGCTACACAGCGACTGTGCCGTTAGCACGGGCAGTAGTGGCTAGGCACTGGGAAGGGAAAAAGGAGATGCTGTAGGCACAGAAACCCCTGAGCCAAGCTGATTTTGTGAGTGAAGGTGAATTTTTTTTTACCCCCATTAGACAGAAGTAATAAATGATTTCTCGGCCAAATTCCTGGACATCTTTAGGACAAACAAAATAACATTTTTCATTTAAATACACCAAATACCCAGAAATTCCCTGATCCCCTCCCCAGCATTACCCAAACCTCCAGATAATGTGACAAGACTCATTTCCAACATGAGCTGCCAAATTACCACCCAGTTTTAAGTAGAGTCATGCACAAGCAAGGGAAATCACAGAGAGAAAAGTTTCCTATTTCAAAGCTTTGGAAGATTTTAATTTGTTTCAGCAGCAGGCTGAGGTTATATGTTGCTCTAGATTATGAAACGTGGGGAGTATTTATAATGATGGGCTAATATTTAATAAAAATCACCCCCACGTTGCTGCACATAATGTTTTATAGGTTATTGATTCCTTTGATTGCAGCCCAAGCAACCTTTACTGACTCAGGAAGTGGAAAAGCAGACAGGAGTAGCTCTCTTCTGCCCACACCCTGGGATGGGTTTTCTGCCACGTGCTTAACTTGGACAGCGTCCTCGGGCTCCTCCTGACAATGGAGGCAGAATTTGTTTCATTTACACAGTTTTGGGTTGTCAACAGACCTATAAGGTGCTACATAGCACAGCACGGTGAGGAACAATTCTTTGTAATTAGGGAAGACCAGCAAATGTAAATGGGACTGGGAATTTTTATAAAAAACTCTGGGTGAAAATGTACACTTAAGCCATTCATTGTCATGTGCAAAAGTTATTAAGGAAGATTTATATTTTGGTTTTTTCAGACCACAAATCCTTTAAAACACCTTTTTTTTTACTGCTTCAGTGCATTGCAGACAGCTTGTCTTTCCCACTCCTCAAAATTCAGCTGATTTCTTGTCATAGACAGTTGCTGCACAAAGGAATGAATTGTCCTAAGAAAAATGATTAATCTTTCCTCAGCAGAGTCTCTCTTCCCCTTCAATAAAACCACAATATTTGAAATTTCTGGTAGCAAGTTAAATTAAGTGTTTCAAATAAGCATTTAATTTAAATTTAATTACTCTTTAGTTAACATATAAAATCAGCCCTTTTTGAGGTTAAACAACTATGCAGGAGATTCATCACACTGAAATGCAATTACTGGGGATCAAGTGACATCTTCGTGAAAGTTGCATTTTAATTCAAAGCCATATCTCACAATAATAATCAAGGGTCCATGCTTCTGCCTCTGAGATCCTGACACACTAACATCAGCACCTGGCAACCACTGCAAAGGAGACTGAGCAAGTGCAACTCCTCTTGCCTGCTGGTTGTTGATCGGGGCAGGGGAGGAAACCCAAAACCAAAAAACCAACATTTATTCCCTTTTCTCAAGGCAGATCTGGAGTGGAAAGGCACTGAATGACAGGAGCAGGGCAGGACAGTGTAGAAGGAGCAAGGATGGAGCAGAGCTCCAAGAGGGCACAAAGCAGAGAGAGCAGCAGGCCAGGGGAAACGAGCTGAGCGAGCAACAAATGCCACAGAGAATCACTGAAGGCTTTGGGTAAGAAGGGACATTTAGAGGCCACTCCCCTGCAGGGAGCAGAGACACCTTTAACCAGATCAGGTTGCTCAGAGTCCCGTGAAAACTGGCCTGGATTGTTCCCAGGGATGGGGCCTCCAGTACCTCTCTGGGCAACCCCTTCCAGTGTTTCACCACACTCATTGGAAAGAATTTCTTCCTTATATCCAGTCTAAACCTACCCTGGTTTAGTTTAAAGTCATTACCCCTTGTCCTGTCACAGCTGGCCCTACTAAAAAGATTTTCCCCATCTTTCCTAGAGGCCCCCTTTAAGCACTGAAAGGCCACAATCAGGTCTCCCCGCAGCCTTCTCTTCTCCAGGCTGAACAAGCCCAACTCCCTCAGCCTGTCCTCCCAGCAAATGTAAATGGGACTGGGAATTTTTATAAAAAACTCTGGGTGAAAATGTACACTTAAGCCATTCATTGTCATGTGCAAAAGTTATTAAGGAAGATTTATATTTTGTTTTTTTCAGACCACAAATCCTTTAAAACACCTTTTTTTTACTGCTTCAGTGCATTGCAGACAGCTTGTCTTTCCCACTCCTCAAAATTCAGCTGATTTCTTGTCATAGACAGTTGCTGCACAAAGGAATGAATTGTCCTAAGAAAAATGATTAATCTTTCCTCAGCAGAGTCTCTCTTCCCCTTCAATAAAACCACAATATTTGAAATTTCTGGTAGCAAGTTAAATTAAGTGTTTCAAATAAGCATTTAATTTAAATTTAATTACTCTTTAGTTAACATATAAAATCAGCCCTTTTTGAGGTTAAACAACTATGCAGGAGATTCATCACACTGAAATGCAATTACTGGGGATCAAGTGACATCTTCGTGAAAGTTGCATTTTAATTCAAAGCCATATCTCACAATAATAATCAAGGGTCCATGCTTCTGCCTCTGAGATCCTGACACACTAACATCAGCACCTGGCAACCACTGCAAAGGAGACTGAGCAAGTGCAACTCCTCTTGCCTGCTGGTTGTTGATCGGGGCGGGGGAGGAAACCCAAAACCAAAAAACCAACATTTATTCCCTTTTCTCAAGGCAGATCTGGAGTGGAAAGGCACTGAATGACAGGAGCAGGGCAGGACAGTGTAGAAGGAGCAAGGATGGAGCAGAGCTCCAAGAGGGCACAAAGCAGAGAGAGCAGCAGGCCAGGGGAAACGAGCTGAGCGAGCAACAAATGCCACAGAGAATCACTGAAGGCTTTGGGTAAGAAGGGACATTTAGAGGCCACTCCCCTGCAGGGAGCAGAGACACCTTTAACCAGATCAGGTTGCTCAGAGTCCCGTGAAAACTGGCCTGGATTGTTCCCAGGGATGGGGCCTCCAGTACCTCTCTGGGCAACCCCTTCCAGTGTTTCACCACACTCATTGGAAAGAATTTCTTCCTTATGCCCAGTCTAAACTTACCCTGCTTCAGTTTAAAACCATCACCCCTTGTCCTGTCACAGCTGACCCTACTAAAAAGGTTGTCCCCATCTTTCCTATGGGCCCCCTTTAAGTACTGAAAGGCCGCAATCAGGTCTCCCCACAGCCTTCTCTTCTGCAGGCTGAACAAGCCCAACTCCCTCAGCCTGTCCTCATAGGAGAGGGGCTCCAGCCCTCGGATCATTTTTGTAGCCCTCCTCTGGACCTGCTCCAACTGTTCCATGTCCTTCTTGTGCTGGGGACCCCTGAGCTGGACACAGGGCTCTGGGGGGGTCTCACCAGCGTGGAGCAGTGGGGCAGAATCCCCTCCCTCACTGCTGGCCATGCTGCTGGGGATGCAACCCAGGACACGGTTGGCCTTCTGGGCTGCAAGAGTGGCACTGAGTCACCATGCACCAAAGCAAACCTCCAAACTGGCCCCAGGCCTGGGCAGAGAGGGTGTCTGGCTCCTTTTAATCCCTATGCACGTGACGCTTCCGTAACCCACAGGGCCCGCAAGGATGGGTTGTATCACGAAGCTGTTCCTCCTCTAAAGGCCGCACACTCTGCACCTTATAAATCCCTGCACCAACAAGCACCTTGTCTAAGAAATTACCGGCTTTCAGGTTTTTAAGTAAAAATAAAAACAACTCCAAAACTGCTTTGTATCCATGTTTTACAAATTTAAAAGGTGCCTGCTGGGGAAAAAAAAGCAGCCAACTGACAAACTACACAAAAAGGGACAAATTAACTCTAAAAAATGAGCAGTAGGGAAGCAGGCCAAGCAGTATAAATCATGCTTCCCAATGCAAATCTCACAGCAACATCTTCATCCCCACACAAGATGACTTGCTCCTCTCTGCGGGGGAAGAAAGTCGCCGTCTCAGCCCATAGCTCATGGCCAGAGAAAATAGGGCTGTGCTGCCAGGCCTGCCTGTATAAATCTCAACACCTGCACACACTCACCCCATCCAGATGGAGACAAATGAGCATGCATTCCCCCACCCAGGCAGCTGGGTGGACAGACAGACAGCTCAGCCCATTTCCCAGCTCAAGGGCATTTCATGGAGACCCCACACAGGAAGAAAAGAAAAAGAGGCACCTGGGAGGGGAAAAAGGAGGATCTGACCATCACACCGCTCAGGCCTGCAAGACTGGCCAAAATATGAGATTTTACCCTTTTTTTTTCGCTTGAAGGACATGTAACCCAAATAATTTGCATTCACACAGTGGGCAGAGGCATGGGCACCATCCCTTGGGGCTGGTTGGCACAGGCAGGGGGGGCCAGACAGACAGCTCAGCCCATTTCCCAGCTCAAGGGCATTTCATGGAGACCCCACACAGGAAGAAAAGAAAAAGAGGCACCTGGGAGGGGAAAAAGGAGGATCTGACCATCACACCGCTCAGGCCTGCAAGACTGGCCAAAATATGAGATTTTACCCTTTTTTTTTCGCTTGAAGGACATGTAACCCAAATAATTTGCATTCACACAGTGGGCAGAGGCATGGGCACCATCCCTTGGGGCTGGTTGGCACAGGCAGGAGAGTCTGGGAGGGTGGGCACCCGCCGGCCCAGGAGCTCTGCAAACCTGCCCCAGAAAGCTCTAACTCTGGCCCCACACTACACAGCATGGGCTGAGCCTGTGCTGTCACCTCTCTGCAAGCAGATTGGTCTCGGAGGGCAACATTAAGCTCTGACACCTCTCAAAATGTTTGCAGTGTTGGGAGCCTGTCAGAGCATGGATGAAGCTCCAGAGTCTTACTGCCTTCGGCATCGACATGGGCTGTGAGCCCCCTTGCATGTCCCACCCTGCACTGCTTGGCCAGGAGCAACCCAGATGGTGAAGGTTAAATCCTTGGCCTCGCCAATGCTTCATAGGTGGTGGTCTTGTATAGAGCTGGGGGAGCAAAAGCATTTTGGGCCATTTGGGACAAACTAAGCTATATAAAGGAAACATTTTGCTTTATGGTGGCCCACGGCTCTCATTCAACTCAAAACAAACCAGCTTGTTTCATTCCTAAGTAATAAATACATGTAAAAAGTTATTTTATCTCTATGTCAACTCAAAGTGAAAACATCATTCCAAAATGAGCAACCTTTCAAGGATTTCCTCCCTTTTCTTCACCTCTGAAGAGCCTGCACAGCAAAACTGACCTCACCTTGGTCCCAAACTTCATTTTTTACTGATGTGTCAAAATTCTCATCAGCAATATTCCATAGGCTTCCTAAAGCCAGCAATTCCCTGGGGCTCTAAGGCCTCCAAGGTCAGCATGCCCTGTGCCCCCTGGGGAGATGGGGGTGCGGGACCCGCTCCGTGGCAACACGTCAGGCTGCAGCAGGACCTGGAGGACAGCACCAGGAATCGTCAGCCCTGGCTTACAGCCCGTACATATCCATTAAGAACCATCCTCAGTGCTAATTGGGATGCAATTCCTGTCATTGCACCCTGAAGACAGCTTGGATCCTAGCCAAGAAACCCATCCTATTCAGCATGGGCTTAAATTCAAGCATATTAAAGACATACCTCAAGTCAAGTACGAACTGCATGCTGTACAAAACAGCAGCAGATTGAAGCATGTGCTTTGGCACAGCCCTGAACCAGAGTCACGGTGTTCAGAACTCAAATCCTCATATTGGTAAATGTCATCGTCCACAAAACCAGGGGTCTGCTGACATGAGAGTTTCACAGGGGGATTTAAGAGTTGTCGGGTGTCAGTATAGTGCTTGCAAATGACACGGGCAGCTCGCCCACGGGTCATCCCCTGAGCACCACTGTGCACATCCCGCTCCAAACCATGTTGAGCACCCCGGGAATTCATTAACCTGCCAGCCAGATGTCAGCTCTTCCTTACCTTGCAGCATGGCAGAGGTGGTGTAGTAGTTAAATGGGACCTTCTTCACCACATATGCATCCATGTCCAGTGAGGACAGCTTGTCCCCCACTAGCACAGACTTCCCCGTGCCAGCATTGCCCACCAGCATCACCGGGCGCCGGCGCTCCAGGAGTCTGTCCATGAAGTACCGCACGCGGACTGTCTCAGCAGTGGGCACCAGGCAAGCCTGAGAGGGGTATAACGGAGCAGGTAAGAGCCCCCATCCTTGCCACAACCCCACAGCCGTGTTCTGGAGAGAAGTAAAATTCGGAGATCCAGGAATGAGTGAGGTGACCCCAGTTTCTATGTTGCACTAGGAAGGGAGCGATATGCTGCTGCTAGGCATTAAAATCAAACTGTTTGTACAGATGAAATCTTAACAGCCAGATGCTGGGAGTAGCATCTGGATCTCTCCACAAACGCACATTTTGCTATAATGGTAACAATTTTTACAAGTCATCTGCTTACTCTGGCACTTTAAAAGGAAAGAAACGTGTAGCTGGCAAACGCATTTCACTACCTGCAGAAACTTTTTTTTTTTTTGGTCCAAATCATAAAAACCTCTCTGCTTTCAGCCAGGCACAGGATGACAACACAGTCTCTCAGGGGTTTTGCCACTACGCTGTCTCACACCCTGTAGGCTGCACTCCTCGGCCAAATGTACCTCCTGTCCTGCACACTGGGCACACTAGTTTCTCACGTAGATCACTCATATTTAGAAGATGGATGGAGGATGTGTCTTCACAGTCAAAGCACAGTAAAGAAAGGTAATTTAGTTGTCCCTCATAAAGAATGCCACCCTTATTACAAAGCACCTGACCTTTAACAAGACTTCATTGAAATGCCTGCATAGAGTCACTAAAATGTATGTATTCCTCCCAGAAAAAAGCATGCAAGGTTCATGTACCTGTAATGGCATTTCTGGATCAAATTCAAAGCGGGGAATAAGTTTAGACCAAGGCTCAAACTTCTTTGTTTCTGGATCAATGTAAAAGTCAAAGACTGTACCCTGAGAGGGAAACTTGATAGTCTTGAATTCGGCCACCCACCACTTGCTGAACTTCACTCTGTAGTCCAAAAGCTGCAAGACAAAAAGTGGAGAAAGTATGCTCACCTGTAGAAACTTCTTAGTGATGGAGAACGTTATCAATCCCAGTCCAAGGGAATGGGATTGGCCCTTAAAATATATTCCACAGCGTAACAATCTTCTCCTTTTTCCTATTATTAAGCCTAATTTTTCATTTTCTTCATTTCTTCTCATCACTCCTGTTTATTCACCTAAGTAATTCATCCTCTGTGTTGATCACTCTTGGTATGTCTGAGATTAGATAGATGGATCAATTTGAAAAAGAGAAATACGTGTCTATGACTAAACAGACCACTTGATTGATCCTTGGTACCTACTTCTTCCAACAGACAAGGACATAACATCCATCTACATCTGTGGTCATGGTTATCAAAGCATGCATACTAAAGTCTTTCCTCATAAATCACACCACTTTATTAATACTTAGTTGTTGTCTTCTGGCCTCTTTTCAAGCCTCAATGTTTTGGAGAAGCAGAATTGCAGACACCAGTGTACCAAAACACCAGAGAGAGACCTAGCAGGAGCAGGGCAGTGACCGTGCCCCTGTCCTGGGCACTGGTGAGGCCGCCCCTCGAATGCTGGGTTCAGGGTTGGGGCCCTCACTCCCAGAAGGACATGGAGGGGCTGGAGCATGTGCAGAGAAGGGCAACGAAGCTGGGGAGGTGTCTGGAGCTGATAGGGAGGGGCTGGGGAAACTGGGGGTGTTCAGCCTGGAGAAGAGGAGGATGAGGGGAGCCCTTATTGCTCCCTACAACTGCCTGACAGGAGGGGGGAGCAGAGACCGACCCGCACCCACCTGGGACGAGGGGAAACAGCCTCAAGTTTTGCCAAGGCAGGTTTAGGTAGGACATCAGAAAAATGAGGGCTACAAAAATGATCCGAGGGCTGGAGCCCCTCTCCTATGGGGACAGGCTGGGAGAGTTGGGCTTGTTCAGCCTGCAGAAGAGAAGGCTGTGGGGAGACCTGATCGCGGCCTTTCAGTACTTAAAGGGGGCCCATAGGAAAGATGGGGACAACCTTTTTAGTAGGGTCAGCTGTGACAGGACAAGGGGTGATGGTTTTAAACTGAAGCAGGGTAAGTTTAGACTGGGTATAAGGAAGAAATTCTTTCCAATGAGTGTGGTGGAACACTGGAAGGGGTTGCCCAGAGAGGTAGTGGAGGCTCCATCCCTGGATTCAAGACCAGGTTGGATGGGGCTCTGAGCAACCTGATCTAGTTAGCGGTGTCCCTGCTCCCTGCAGGGGGGTTGGACTAGATGACCTCTAGTGGTCCCTTTCAACCCAAAACATTCTATGATTCTATGATTCTGTGATCAGGAAAAATTCCTTCCTCGAAAGGCGGGATGGCAGGGTTAGGGGGACGGTTGGGCTTGGTGATCTTAAAGGTCTTTTCCAACCTAAATGATTCTATGACTATGTCCCTTTGGCTCGGTTGTTTCTGCACTGCCATATTGCCCTGTAAGCACACACTTTCTTGCCTTTCCCCATTCTATCTTTCTACGCATGGAGATTTTTGAGCACCTGAATTTTTTCAAGAGCTGGGGTGACAGTTTTGCTTTAGATGCTGGTTCAGGACTTGCAAAACATGCTTAGTTCACTCCCCTGCCCCAGGTCTCCCATGAGACATTGGGCCAGTCACTTCGTGTGAACATCTTCCCATGCAGACAATGGGGACTACAGCTTTCTGCCCTGGGGAGAAGTGGGTGAGGGAAGGAGAGGAAAAGTCCTGTTTACAAGATGTCTGTGAAATATCAGATGCATAATTTAGCCAGTTTTAACAGCACAGTTTCTTCCTGGGGCATCTACAGGTGTCTCCTCCCCACAGCCATTCAATGTGCTTTGCCAGGCCAGAAGCCCAACATGGCACCACCAATGTGGGACCACCAACACATAGACTGCTAAGCCTCCATTAGGAAACCTGGGTTTGCAGCTGAACTGAATCGCATGTCCTCTGTAAAATTTCCTGAGCCACCATCCATCAAAAGACCAGAGGATTTGAAAAACGTGTTATTAGCATTCACTGTTTTGCAGCCTCGTGTTATTCAGAGAGGCAGAATAACTGTAATTCTCCATTCCCCTGTTGTTATAACTCCTCAGTGCTGGCAGCAGAGTAGCTGCAGCAGAGAGGGACGTGCATCACTGCTAAAAGCTTTCTCACAAGGGTGCCCTTACCCCTGCACAGGCAAACTGCCTGCAGCTGCGTTGCTGCCCATCCTCCCTACCCGAGCAGTTAAGTGGAGCCTCTCCAACCCTGGCTCTATTGCCAGAACAGTGTTGAACTCAAACTGCTTCCTTAATAAAAACCCCATATGGATTTCCACTAATTTGAGAGCCTGGAAATGGCAAATCTATCATCTGTTTTTATACAGGGGCCCCACTACCCACCAACAAGCGCAGAGTAGTGGGAAGACTTCCAGACTGTTTCTCCTGACATTTCGACAGCAAAAGGTCAGCACAAAGGGCACCTTCAATGGCGAGCAATAAACAGATTTTATATTGGATCATTTTTCATCAGGCTTCCCCTCATTCGGACCGCTGTATCCTCGCACTCTCAGCTCTGACATTTATAGAGCATCACAAGCAGCAATGTACAGTCCAGCCTCAAAGTCAAACATCCCAGAGGCATGCTGGCAGTGCAGGGAATGCGGTGTCCATCTGCAACGTGACTGTGCTCCAGCCAACCTGCTCGAGGAGCTATAAGCAGCTTGCTTGTACAGCTGAAGCAAGGGCAAGCAGTGCTTCCCAGGCTTTGTTGCATTGGGTTTTTTTCTAAGTCACCCTGCACTGAAAACGCCAAGGCTGAGTATTTCCCAACTGGCATATAGGAAATGGAGGGTTAAGTCCTCCACAAAGACCAAGAAAGCTGGTCTTGCACAGGTCATTCAACGGCCATGAGGCATGATGGCACCAAGTGAGCACCAAGCTGATCTTGTGTAGTTTAGCACTTCCTGAAACTTCTGCTCCTTGGCATGAAGCAAATGTGAAGGGTCCAGCAGATGCTGTTGGCCTAGCATTGAGGCATGTGCAAAAAACATGAAGAGACCCCAGTGAGCACTTGAGCAGCCTCTGAGAACAGCAGCGCCTCCTCCCAAGCTGGAAGGATCTCTGGTGTTAGGTCCATGGAGAGACCTCCCACATATTCCAGACAACACAGAGCTTGACACAAACCCACTAGAGACCAGATGTGGATCTCTGAGCCCTCAACAGCAGTGTCTGTCACTGGGCAGATGCACACAACAAGATGATATGATTTAGACCTGAGGGACAAGGTATCCTTTGACAAGAGATGCAACCACCCAACAGGTTCCCAGCAGGGACTGGGCAGAACCAGAGTGAGCAGCTCCAGCAGATTCCAAATGTACTTCCACCCGCAGGCTTTGCAGTTACTCACATTGCTCCCCATGCCACTTGCTGAAAACCTGGTACTCAACATCTAGGTCTTCAGGTGCTGCACGTGCTCTTAGACCTCCCTACAAGTGTCTCAGGTTTCTCCTATCTGTCTCTGAACCAGTCACAATAAAAATCTCCATCTTGCACAGCCATCAATCTGGAAACAGCAATGCCAACAGAGGATGGAAAACTGTCCTGCAAGTATGGGCATGAAACCATGGAACAGAGCCAAGGGTGGCCCCAATGTCAGCAGCGTTGGCAGCAGGGCTCTGACACACAGCTAGCTGTCTTCTTGTCCATTATTACTGTTAACAGTTAGAAGTTATAAAACAGCTGCAGCTTTTCCAATTACTTGGAAATCAAGAGACAACCCCGCTGTGCCGAGCTGAGCCACGTGGCCTGGGAACAGGGCAAAATGGGGTACAGTGGTGAAAGAAAATGCCCATTTTTCCTTTCCTGTGCAAAAGACATCAGGAAGAGGCAGAGAACAGGGAGGGCAGAGGCAGCAGGACAACCCTGCTTCCCCCAGGCAAGTCTGGAGAAGATCCTTCCCAAGATTCCTGTTGTTCACATGCTACAGCTCCAGCCATAGCAACTGTGTTTCAGTCCTCTGTGCCTCTCCCATGTCTTAAGGACCAGGACCTGAAAGGGGGCTGAAATCGTGCAGTATCAAATGCTGACCTTGAGAAAACTGTCTTATAATAATATCACCATACATGAGATCACACGCACCTTGTCTACTGTAAACTGATGGATTCAGAGGCTGACAGCTGCAATTAATCCATAGGATAGATGTATTGAGGGAAGCAGCATGGAGGGTAGTGCCCTCTCTTCCTCTGACTCTCGGACATGATTGTACTTTGAATGTCAGAGACACCACTAGTGAACTGCGGCCTGATTAATCCTCCAGGCCCAAGAAGATCTTGGTCTCTAGATTGTGCCCTCCAGTGCTACAGTCTTGGGTTGTGGACATCCATCCACCAACGGCTTGAGCCCAGCAGCTCCTGCCCAAGACTACCCAGCAGCTGGCTGCCCAGAGGGGAGCTCAAGCTGGGTGCCTACAACCATCAACCCCAACCTTGCCAGCACACTCCAGCAAAGAGTATTTCAAAGCGCAGAGCCAGTCTACTTTCACTTAAGTGGAATCACATAATCCCCAAAGCCCCCCCTGCCATGGCAACCATCCCTCTTCCTTCTGTACTTCTACCAGAAATTGAGGACAGCCAATTCTTGACATCCACCTATGTTTAATAAAAGTCAGTGGTGACAAGGCACCGAATGCTTTGTGTTATATAGCACAACATCTACCTGTGCAGTCAGATGGCTGAAAGACTGCTCCAGCAATATATTCGGTAAGTCAGTCTTAATTTGATCACATTATGCACATCCACAGGCCTCTATAAATTAATGTAATGTTTCTCCCCAGTGAAACGTGTCTGCCTTTATCACTTGACCCCTCAGCCATTCTCCTCTAGTGTAACACCGTGGATAATGAGGTCTTTCACAAAAGGAATTTTGTATTCAGGTTTCTAGTTTATCACCACTGATATGAAAGCCCCAGGAAAACAGCACTACTGATACAGCACTATGTTTTGGAAAGTATAAAAAAAAAAAAAAAAGGCCTGCGTAGAAGATCCTGAAGTGGCATCTTCCTTCTTACCTGATCTTGAAACATTGATCCACCAAAGGCCCAGACAGCAGCAAAGACAAAATAAAGTTCATAAAGCTCCTTGGGACAGTCAGGAGGCGTGTTCTCCTCTGTCAGGAGGCATTCGAGGAGGTAGCACAGCATCTGAACCATACTCTGTTCAGGAATGGGAATAATCTTCTTAAATCTAAGGGATGGAAATTGAATGCACAGGAAATATAATTTGGTCCAGTGACAGTTGCTCCAACCCAGGAAGGCAACCCTAGAAATGCTTTTTCAGAATTTTACTTGTCAGCAGCGTGTGTCTTGTTCCCAGGTACAGTAATAAAGAGAACAACCATTCTCTCCCTCAAACCTGCTGGCACCGGCACATACACAAGTAATAACAGTAATCAGAAGTTTCAAGCATTTTAAAACTTTGATCCTCTTGAAAGAAGTAAAATGGAAGACTTGCTAAAGGCAATGATTTCCTGTGAACACGATGAGTTCAAAAGCGGTCAAATAGAGGAGTAATAAAATAAACCCTTTCATCTTGCCATTTTACATTCATTTAAGCTACACTTACAGAATTCCAAACTAATATTGTAGCAGCACTGAAGTCCTCCATAAAGTAATTATAGCTATTTGAAAGGTTGGTTCTACAATTTCTGAATTAAGCAAGCTACCACAATACTCAGCTCAGGGCTGCCTGCAGCTAATCCCTTGGATTTCACCATCTGACACAATGTTCAGCAAATAGAGTGGGAAATGTCTGATGGGCTTTGCTGCCAACAGCTGTAACCAGCTTGGTCACTCAGGGAGCAGCTCCCTAGCAAGAGGCCAACTGCTACTTCCAAAGACCACTGCTTTCACTAATGCAGCCCCTTCTGACAATCCCCATTGTGGTTAACAACTCCCATGCTCAACTGTACACTGATAGTTTTTTATTTTATTTTATTTCATTTAGATGAAGGTGCAACTATGGGCAGCAAGCAGAGGATGGGAAAAGCTCCCTTACTCAAGTTTGTTGGGACTCTGGCCAGTCCTCACCACAGTATGAATAAGAGTTGTCTCCCATGATGATAAGCAAGAACCACAGAACTTCTCTGTGGGAACTGTTTTGAAGCTAACTCAAGCCAAGGAGCACCAGGGCCCTTTCAAATATCCAAGTTCTTCATGTTCATTGGATTGGTGTCCAACCATGAAACATGCCCAGACTGGATGCCCACACAGACTGGCTTAATTTTGTCGAAATGCATCAGGCAAAAAATTCAAGAGAGAACTGCCTGTAGAGCAATCCTACCCTCTTCCACAAACACCAACTTCCTTCTCATCATCAAGGGGCAGGAAAAGCAGCGAAAAGAGGATAAAAAGAGGATCTGCTCTCTCCATTTTCCATGCTGCATACTTAAAATTTCTCTTCAGCAGTGGTCTGAAATCTGCTCTACTGAAAAATAACTTGTGGAGTTAACTCAGGTCTAGCCTGACATATCAAGAGACTGACAAGACTTTCTCTTTAGGATCTCCTGGATTTACTTTCCAAGAGATACAGAACTGGTACAGGAAGTACAGGAACAATCAAATCAAAATCCAATGAAAACCAGATGAAAATAGATCTGGCCAACAAAGGATGGGCAGGAGCATCAGCTCCCCCACCTCGCCCCGTTGTTTCTCTGAGCTTAAGCCAATGATGCTCAGAGCTCTCAGGGGCAAGGATGAAACCAGTCAGCCATGCCACATGCAACACAACCCCAGCACAGCACAGCTGGTCTGGAAAGCAGCGAGTGTCCCCCCTGAAGAGATACAGCGGAGATAGATACACTCATTCTTCAGATGGTACCTTGTTCTGAGGGTGTCCAGGCAAACCGGCAGGTACTTATCAAATAAAATGGTCAGGTTGGCTTTTTCAGACTGGATCTCTCGCCTGTCAATCCAGCTGCTCACTGGGGGATTCCAGCCCAGATCTGATGGGTTGATGTACAGGATCCCTTTAGGCCCAGGGTAAGAGAGAACATATAGTAAGAACACAGCAGAATTTCTCAGCTACTTTCACACAACTAAATCCCTGACAAATGTGCCTGGGTGCCCCATTACCTACCCCCACCTCCTGCTCCACTGCGAAGTAGAAACATTAACAGAGACTTAACTCAGGAAACCAGGACACCTTTCACGACCCTGGCCCAAATTCAGAACATGGTCTTGCCTGAGTCATGTTATTGCTCTGGGCCCCATTTCCTCATGTGTAAAACTAGGGGACACCTTCATTCCCTTCTCCCATACTTCATGCACTTCTCCAGAAGATCAGGAGCTCTTTGGGATAAGAGACTGTCCCTCTCTTCATCAAGTCCATACAGGCCTTTGCACAACAGAACCACTCTCTCAATAATTCTGAAGCCATGATCACTCATCTGCAGTTAGAGAGCTCCAGGTAAATCTCCAAGATGATGACAGCTCCCCATATGGATTTGGGATAAGGATCATCAGTTTGTCATGTGCTTCAGAAACCTACTCTGTCCATCAAAGGCAGCTGTGATCCCAGGTTGGGAACATTCAAGAGGGATCAATCTGACCAACAAAAGACTGGTTAATGGCACTAGATCCTATTTGGTCCATGCAAAATCCCAGTGTGAAGCTCAGGCCAGGACTCACCCGCTCTGGACACGGTTGCTGGGGTGGCTGTGCGCAGGTGGCTGATCTCAAAGACCAACCGCATTGTTGGGTTCAGAGGGATTCTCTCATTGCTTGCCAGGGTCAGCACCTGCATGTGGCAGACAGACAGACTAACACCTCCCCCAGAAATAGGAATGGAAAGCATTCAGCACTTTTCACTAAAAAGTTTGGCAGCTGTCAGCCCAGGTCCTCAAGGCAAAGCAGCTGATATCTAACAGGAATGATCCTTCTCTCCTCCACGACCAGAATCAACAACAGTCCCTTACAGTGGGGAAAAAAGGTGTAGGATTATGACCCCACTCTGTTTTTAAAGGGCCTGAAATTATGATCAAGATGTTTGCTGTTACTCATGAACCCAGCTCTCCATGAGAGAGAAATTCCATGGAGAACATGCTTTGAGCTATTTTCCTCATGCACCATTTTCTTTATGCAATATTGTTTGGTATATATGAAGAAACACACTTGCATTATTCTAGGAGGTGTTATTTCAGCATCTGTATTTCTCCTAGGCTGAATCACTCCACATAGTCAAGGAACACCTGCTGCTTTAACTTATATTCATTACCTTATTATCATCCATCACAGTATTAAGAGATTCAATCCACATCGGATCAATATCTCCATCTAGTACCATCCACTTGGGACCATCATGTGTGATGTTGGCCAGCTCTCGCATGATTGACGAAAACAGTCCTGGGAGGGTGACAGGAATGTATTGATGAACACTGAAGTTGCCACCTGCTCTAACAGTTTTCTCTAACAACTTACTCAAAATTATAATTCCTCTTAAGCCTTCAAAACTCTGGACACCCATCCATAAATATTACTATATCACGATATGGGTCTAGTCTACTTCAACGAAAAAAGCCATTATCAGTTACCACCACTGAAAATGACTGCAGACCTATGCGTGAGCTTCATTCCCACCGAGAATCATAAGGGATAAGAAAAGTGAAGAGCAGATATTCAGAAGCAAAAGAAGGCATGAGTTACACAATGCAGAGAGAACCATCTGAATATGCCTTGGAAATTCTTATAAATGTTTTTTTGTGGCTCGAAGTATATCAGGGAAATCAAGATGCATTAAACGCTGGGTCATGGCTTTAGTGAGATTGAGGGGAGAACAAGCACAGAATGACATTGAATGACAGAACAAAATGTCAGTAAAATCAAGGAGACAGAGAGGATACAGTGTCTCGAGGGGAGTAAATAATGAATGTTAAGAAGAGCAAGAAGGCTGGGAATAGAGCAGCAGTGCTGCAGAGCAAATGAAAACTCCACAAAACTATCGCTCTCCTCTACATGTGAAAATACCTAGGGAGACCCTGGTGTTCATGAAAAAACATCAGGCAAACATTAAAAAAAAGCCTCTCTTCTGGTGAATTGTGACAAGCACACTTTTTTTTTCCTCTAGGACAAGCTATTTCTTTGTGATCCTGCTCAGGAACAGCATTACATGACTGAAGACAAAGCTTGCGCACAACAAATGCAGAACAGCTCACCTGAAACAGGTATCTGATTCTGAGATCGGATCAAAAAAGATAACACTTTGCTGGGTCTGCCTTGGCTGGGTTCCTCACATTTTGGACACATGGCTCGGAAACTGCTCCAACACCATCAGTATCAGAAATAGCTACTGTCTCAGAGCATCAGCATTTCCCTCGTACACTCCACGACAGCAGAGGAGAGAAAAGTACCTCTCCTAACCTTGTGCATCCACACCACAGAGCAGTCTTGGGATTTAAAATAAGAATTTGGTCCTATGAAGAACATTTTTAGGATTCCCTTGGGGGACTTTTTACCACCTAGCATGTATAAAGTTTTCAACTCCTGACAATGAAAGCACTGACAGGATGAAAACGGGAAGAGGAAAAGAAAAGGCTAATCCCTAAGGGAACGCATCGCCTCTTGTTAGGCTGGTTTTGGTGTTTGACTATAAGAAACAAAATTTTCAGGAATGGTTAATGCAGAAAATATCTGCCTTAAAACCTCAGGGAGAAGTCCCATAAGCTCCCTTGAAACATTACAGGTTAGAAACCACTGGACAGCCACCTGTAAAATGTCCCTGCTGCTGTTTAGAGCCACCCACAGTCCTCCATAAGCAGTCGCTGCTGCAGCCAGTCTGCAGAATTCAGGCTGTATCCTGCACTTCCCTCTGTCACTTTGATTTAGGGTCCCTCATTACAATTAAAAAGAAATTAACACTGGCACTGGAGCAAAGCAGAGGGTCAGGAGGGGTCCATGACAAGGGCCAGGGGAGGTGGGTGGCAGCCCATCTCCTGACGGACTTCTGGCCAAGGGTGATTTATGGCAACTTCTTCCTGTACCTCCCCCATGCTTCCCAAACCAGTCACACACGTAAATCAAAGCTGCCTTTACGTATTAGTCACAAGCAAACATTTTTACTCCAGATTTCTGTAATCTTTCAGCAAGTTTTAATTGCTCATCCTATTTTCCTCAGGAACAATCAGGACCAATGTACCGGCAAATGCTGGTGTAATACAGAGATCAGGCAGCAATATTAAGTGGGAAAACACCACTTTAAGGCTGCTGCGTGCAGGCTACCAGCTATGGAAACCTGGGGAAGGCACATTTTGGGGGGCCGCAGTGCACACTGTAGGACAGGAGGGAACTCTCTTCCATGACTGGTCCAGCCAACCCTGAAAACTGCCTGCCCCATTTAGGAACTGGTAAGGGTTGGTATTAATGGACATGATAATTATTCTCATGGCAATAGGACAAAGCAGGTTTGTGCTGTACTTCCCATTTGAAGATCATTAGGCTAAAACATCCTATGTAACCTTTCAACAACAAAATCGCACATGGCTGTGAGCAGCAGACAAGCGCCAGGGCTTTCAGACCAGCATACAAAGCACCAGTCATCCTGCTGCTGCTCAGGAAGTTCATTAACATTAACCTTCTTTATCTACAGATTCAGGCATGAAAAGTCACTTACCATCTTTCCATTCCCTTGTTGATGGATTAATGATGCCAAAAAGCTCATCATTGGTGACTGCCTTGGGGTTGAGGTCTGTCCAGACAGGACGTCGCTTCATTATCTGGTAAGTCTTGTTCAAGGATCTCATGACCTGAGACTTGCCTGTGCCTGCATTACCCACCACAAAGACAGAGTGCCGGACCATCAGCAGCTCCTCCAGCTGCACCACCTGAGAAAAAACACTCCCAAAATGTAGACAAAGATGCCAAACTGAAGTTCAGATCTACAAAATAACTCCCATTGGGCCACTTCTTTGGAAAGATGTGACCCAGAGGCACAAATGGATTTGAGATTGAGTTTGTTCTAGCCAATCTAATCACAATAGGTGAAATCTTCAGCCTGCAGACAAACCTCCAGCGGTTTACATCTCACAGCCATCAGCCAATGATGTTCTGCTCTCCAAGGGCCACACTTTCATGAGCCTACAAGAGTTAGCCCCTTTGTAAACTCCGGGACCAAGCCAGTGCTGGCTTTATGGGCAGGTGCAACTGCATGATAGAATCACAGAATTGTTTAGGTTGGAAAAGACTTTAAAAGCATTGTCCAACCGTTCCCCTAACCCTGCCATCCCACCACTAAACCCTGGCCCTAAGCACCTTGTCTGCCTGGCTTTTAAATCCCTCCAGGGATGGGGACTTGACCCCTTCTCTGGGCAGCCCGTTCCAATGCTTAACAACCTTTTCAGGGAAGAAATTTTTCCCAATGTCCAACCTAAACCTGCCCTGGCACAACTTGAGGCCATTTCCCCTCGTCCCATCGCCCATTACCTGGGATCAGAGCCCGACACACCCCTCCCGTCCCATCTTCCCCCTCCTGTCAGGCAGTTGTAGAAGATGATAAAGATCAGACCCAGCATAGCTGACTCTGTCCTCCATCAAGGTCTGCCTGCAAGGGGAATACTGTGCAGAGCACTACTTCTTTGTAGAAGTAAAGATGAATGAGAAAAACCAAATAATTTGATGGTGGTATAGGTACACCAGAAGACTTCTTGGTCTTACTTTGAGCACAAAGTTGTCCTCAGCCTGCAGCTGGAGGTCCAGCACAGCCTGCCTCACAAATGACTCAAAATTCAGGTCACGCTGAAAGATCCCCAATTAGGCCCATAAACACTGGCACATCATCGATCACAATCTTGGGGATGTTAAAGTCACGAAGTGAGCGCATCAGAACCTGGTCTTCAGGTCGCTCTGGGTCATCTCGTTTGAGGGAGCCGGCGACAACTAGCACTGACTTGATTGCACGCAAGCCCCAGTCATAGTGATCCTACATGAGAAATAAAAAAACAAAAAAAGGAGGGATGAGTTTATGCTGACAGTACACCACCATGCAGGGGTAAGAACCAGCAGCTCCAAACTTGCAGACAAGTCAGCAATGGAAATACATCCAAACCTGTTATTTGCATCATGGCCAGAGACCTCCACCAGCCTGAGTTAACTGATTTCCATTTCAGTAGGTGAGATTCCCATCAGGGACAGTGTTAAAGAGTCAAATAATTCAGCTGTTCATACCATCACATGGACTCACAGCTGGCAGTAAGACAGCAGCAGGACTTGCGCTCCGGAGACCTAAGAAATTTGTTTCAACTAAATCATAAAGCCAGGCCAGCCAGACCCCTGGATCTGCAGGAGCTACCAAGGTGAAAGATCCTTTAGTCCATTATGAGGCCCCAAACACCCATCACAAGGTTACCAGGCATGTTTGGTCCCAGAGGCAGTCCACCAAGCAGGGACCAGTAAGAACATTGCTGAAAAAGAACCATAAAGAGGCATGAGCAGAACTCTCAAGTCAACAAGCAACTCTTTATATTTCTGCTCTGTTAAGACCACCCAGAGCGCAGCTCAATGGCTGACTGCTTTGTGGGGGAGGCCATGGCTTCCAGCAACACCTCCAAGACACAGCACAAAGTTTCTGTGACAAAGTGTCTCCCACCCAGCCTCATGCTGGCACAGCCAAGATCAAATTTTCCATCTGGAATCCTGATTCAGCGCTTCTCTGGACCCAGCTTTGATCTATGCAAATGATGACAAGGAAAAATCTGATTAATTAGACCTTTGTACTGGAATTGACCCTACTTGGTCAACACCTGACATCACAGGGAACTGTTAGGCTGAACTCGGAGAGGGACAGATATAATAAACCCCTTGCAAGCAGGAGAATCAATAGGAACTAAGAGACTGGAAAGCAAAGGGTCACTGAATACTACCCCAAACATGGTGTCATTTGAGCACATCAAAAACCCTCTCCCTTCAATACAGCTGGTCAAGTGCTTTTGTCCTACAGATCCCCCAGTAAAGCAGTTTGCAAATTTCATTACTCTGATGATGACAAACCTTCTCTTCTCCCAGCACCTAGTGCAAATGCAGGCATTAAATAAACACTGTGAAGATTTAGCCATGGAGAGTGGCAGAGTGTCATGGTCCTGCTGATTTTGGAGATAAACAGGCTTCGTTGTCCCATCAAACTGCAGAAGTGGGCTCACCTGCTTGGACAGGAGCTCTTTGCAGAGTTGGTACAGAGTAATGAACTTCCTGGCTAATGCCCGGGCCTCGATGAATCCCTCGGCCACCAACATAATTTCACAGATCAGCTCAAAGTCTGGCACAACCATCGCACATGGCCTAAAAAGACAGGCAAGAAAAGATTGCAGAACCAGTATTTCTTGGCTACAGGTCTTAGGGGCAGTGGATTTGCAGCTTTCAGGGCTTTTCCCGTGAGCCAGGTTGCACACAGTCTTTCCCATCGCAAGGGATGGAGCTCCTTTGCCCTGCCTGGGCATTCCCAGACCCAGGTTTGTTGCACAAGGCTGAAGCTATCTGTGAATCCCCAATGCAAGTCAATTCCCCCTGGAAATAAAGCCAATCCTGGATATTCCAAAAGACAATTTCTGCCAGTCTTATAATACAGGTCACAAAACTTGACCTGGACTCACCTGAAGAGAGCTTTTAAATTCTCAGGTAGCTCAGTTCGCCCTGCATAACCAGGGTTCATGGTGATGAAAATGCCTACTGAGGGAACTAAGTTAATGTCTTCTCCAAGAAAATTGAAGGATTTCTTCTTATCCCGTATAGCATCCTGCACACTCTTCACCTAGGAACCAAGACAGTGTTATAGTACTGGTGTTCAGTTATGAAGAACATGGCACACAACAGTGCTGCCTTCTTTACCCTTGGCCCCATGACGACTGGAGTGTTTTCCCTGTTTTGGTTTGGGTTTTTTACTGACCATATATAGCTTTATATGCTGTTTGGAGTAAATCTGTGTGGCAACAACAATCTCCCATGACAGTCAAACTCTGACAAAGCAGAGAAAAAGAGCTGAAGAGACTGGGCAGTCAAACCACAAAGAAGTGGCAAGAATTTGCACCATTGCTCTGTAAGACAATGATGGATGTGGGTGAGGAAGAGCAGCTCAGGAGAAGGAAATGCCTCCAAAGCTGCCTGCATCTTACCTTGGCTTTTGACATCACCTGTGGGACACTTCCCAGCACATCTCCAGCAAAAACACCACAAAGGCTGAATCATCTCTTTCAGCTTCCCAACCCAGCAGGAGGCCAGGTGCCCAAGATGAGCTGCAGGCTCTCCAGGCATCCACAACACCCAAATGCAGTCCCAAGAGTCCGACACAACACGGGCCTCTGATTCCCTCCACCCATCTTCACCTCTCCCACACACCACTGCTCTTCATGACAGCCCAAAACCCTCCCCTGTGCCTGCTCTATTCCTTGGCTAGACCCAGAAGAGGAGCAGCATTTCCCGGTAAACTTGGCCTCAGCTCAATTGCAAACTGATCACTTGATATTGCTTTTAACAGTTTTGGGACATCAGATGCTTAATTTAAAACCAAAAGCACAAGGCAGAAGCTGTCAGACACCTCCACTCACCAATATTGTATTGTCTTTTATATTTGCCTGATTGCAGCATTGTGCTTCTTATTCCTTGCCTTCTAAAGAGAGCAAATTTGTTAAAGCTAGATCACCTTGCAAACAGCACTTCAGCAAGGGAGAAATCTCTCAACATTCACTCCTCTAACCTTACTGCTGTTTGCCACCTTAAAGTTACACAATTAATCGAATTTTTCTCTGTAAGGAACCATATCGACATTAGCTGCATGACTAAGACAGCCAATTAAACATCACCATGGTTACACTCCTAATAGCAGCCAGGAGACATGGTGATGGAATGACAGCCAGGCTGCTTTCTTCAGATGCCACGCTCCAGCCAGGAGCGAGGGAATCATTAGCAGTTGAGTCATATCTGGGCTTCTTTTGTTCATCTTCCCTTTTTATTTTAAGATCCTCAAAGACTTTTTTCAAAGACAACTTTAAACTAGAACCTGACGGAAGAGAAATTGAGAGGGAACAATACATAAACTCCTGTACCCGCCTGGGGCTTCTTTGGGACGTCAAGTAAGGTACCAATTATGAGTGAAAGAGAGATGAGAAAAGTGAGGAGTTCATGGAGGGGTTCAGAACAACGGCTTTCACTGAAACATTTACAGAAATGTAGAAACTTCTGGGCTCTAGATCTTTCTTTCTGCAACACTAAGCCCAAAACGGGGTCTAGGAAGAGTCAAGCACCTTAGTCAGACACTGGGATCCTAAAACCTGCACTCAGATGACACTTAGGTCCAGAAAAACTTAAATACTTTGGCATATCAATTTTCAGCACTGAAGTCCCCCAAGGCTCAAAACCTTCAGTTCTGCCCACAGCAGAGCTGTCTTGGTCTGGACAGTGCAGCTGAGCACCCACCCTCTGCTCAAACTCCACTGGTAGATGCTTTTACCTGTCATTTTCAGTGGATATCAATGAGATTTAGGATCTGGACAGACAGACCTCTCCTTCAAAGCAAAGGCCAGAAGCAGTGCCTGTTCTCATCCTGCTGCCCTGTGGTTACCCCTGGGCTGCCCCAGGTTTCAGCCCCTGCCGGAGGGGATTGGCACCTGCAGCACTTTCCCAGGGTGCCCCCTCACCATGCGCTGGGCAGGCATGGGCAGGGTATGGAGCAACTCTCCTCCTGCAATCCTTTCCCCTATGGAAAATATTTCCAGATTTCCTTGGAGGCCAGTAAGAGGGAAGGAAAGGAGGAGGCAAAGTGCCAGTTTATATACAAAGCACAAGAAAACAGGATTCTCCAGCATGATGGGGAGGGCAGTCTCTTTTCCAGCCCTTGTCCAAGGATGGCTGCTCTGCTTCACACAGGACTCACAAAAAAAATGCACTGAATGGTTAAACTGTAGAGGAGACAAGAAATCATTCTACAGGGAAAGCACCTATGCATAGCCGGGCACAGCTCAAACAGCTCTCTCCTAGCTTTAATCCCACGTTGTCAGGGTATCCCAGGCAAGCGCATAAGCAAGGGCTGTAGACCTACTGCAGGTTCCAGTTACTAAGTGTCACCCAGCCGGCACTGGCTTTCAGGAGCACCCCAGCCACAGGGCTGCACCCATTCCTCCTAGGAATTATGCCACTACATCCTGGAATGCCCTCCAAAGCCATTTCACAGAGCTCTCATTACAGACACTGGAATGAAATCTACAGCCATATGAAAAGAGAATGAAGGAAAGAAGTCTGCACAGTCTTGGTGGCAGGTAAGCGTTAAGAAAATTAATCTTGAATGTACTCACAGAATCACAGAATCCCAGAATGGCAGGGGTTGGAAGGGACCTCGGGAGATCATCCAGTCCAACACCCCTGCTCAAGCAGGCTCACCCAAAGCAGGGTGCACAGGACATCGTCCAGGCGGGCTTTGAATATCTCCAGAGAAGGAGACTCCACAGCCCCCCTGGGCAGCCTGTTCCAGTGCTCTGTCACCCTCAAAGTAAAGAATTTCTTCCTCACATTCAACTGAAACCTCTTCTGCTTCAGTTTGTGCCCATTGCCTTTTGTCCTCTCACTGGGCACCACTGAGAAGAGTCTGGCTCCATCCTCGTGACATCCACCCTTAAGATATTTGTAAGTATTTATGAGATCCCCTCTCAACCTTCTCTTCTCCAGGCTGAACAAGCCCAGCTCCCTCAGCCTTTCCTCGTTGGAGAGATGCTCCAGGCCCCTCATCAGGTGATCACTCCTACTTGTTGAATGTGACACTCAACCTGTGCCTGACTGGAGGCAATAAATAACCCCCAAACATCCAGCAGGCCACGGATCTGCCCCAAACACGACCCTTCCCCTCCATGAAAATTATTCCCTATGTAGCAGGCTGAGCAGCCCCACGTCAAGGCAGCTCTCCTCCCCAACATGATATGCTGCAGTTATCTCACAGCATATTAATGGCACGAATGTCTTCCTCGGGAGGAACCGGTACAGAGCCAAGGCGTGTACTGATCTGGGAAAAGGCGCTATTAAGAATTGCCTCAACACAAATGATGTAACTGGGGGAAGAAAAGGAGCGACAAAAATGTTTGCAGTGCATTACTGCTGCATTTTGTCAGTGCTGTGATTTTCATGTGATTAATCTTGGGATATATACCCTCACCTGCCTACACATGAAACCGAAACCAGCAACACGCACTTTCCACGTTTACCCTCGCTCCAAAGACTGCAGCAAGGCTCTGCCTTGTTTGTATTTATTTATGAGTGTTTCTTCACTTACCTGTACAGCAACCACAGAAAGGACCTCAACTGAGATCCTGTTAAATTCATCAAAACAGCCCCAGGCTCCCGTCTGGGAAAGGCCTTTGTAAATATTCCCACAGGACTGGAAAAAAAAAATTACAAGAGTGAAATCACAAATGGAATCAACTCCAGCAAAAAAAATTGATTTTATTTCCCAGCCTGTTTATTTATAGGAATTTACAGTCTATTGTGAGTATTTAGAAAAGTGCATGGAAACAGCAGGCACTACTCAATTATAATATTTATAGCTCTGCACAGTTTGCTACTTGATTTGCTAATTGCACTTGCTCCATATATCTGTGCACTGGTTTCATTTAAAGGTCACCTGTGCTGAATTACAGATGGCCCAGCTTCCTGGGAGAGCCCATAAGCTGAATAACATATGATCCAAGGCTACCAAAATCACTGTACCATGCCAGACCGGCAGAGAGTGAGACTCAGCCTAATGATTCAGCGTTCTGCAGCAGCTGAAGTTTCAGCACGTTTTGGCCTTATTCTGGGAGAGGATCCTGAGAAAACTAGGACAGATCCATTCCCATGCCAGGGCCTGTCAGCCTGTGAGCACGCCAAGGAGAAACGACCAGGGTTGAAGTATCACACACAGAACAGCATTGGTCTCAGCTGAACAGGCCAAAATTTTTGAAGCATTTCACATGGAATCTAACTGCAGAAGGGAAGGGAAAGACATAACGAGGCAGAGAGCACAGTTTGGGTCTCCGCCTCCTGAAGAACTTTGTGCAAGTCTTAGAGAAGAAAATGAAGGAGGAGAAAAAGGTGTTTGGCAGAAAGGAATGTAGCAGGGATCTGAGGAGAGGTGGTGGATCAAAGCGATCCCAGCTGAGTTACTCTCACCCCTCAGGTTTCATCAGGCCCCCAGAATCCCCAGACCCACATGATGGCACTGCAGCCAAGGTGGGAGCAGTACCTTGTAGTCCATCTGCTCAGAGCAGTTAAACACATACACCATGATGCCCAGGGCTCGCCCCAAATCTTTCGTAGTCTCCGTCTTGCCAGTGCCTGCAGGGCCTGCTGGTGCTCCACTCATGGTCAGGTGCAGCGACTGGGTCAGGGTGATGTAACATCTTTCATAGCAAAAGATGAAGGAAAAGAGAGACTGAGTCTTGGTCCAACAGGTCACTGTTGCACTGCACAGAAATGGCACCAGCACAATGCACACAGGAGAGCCTTTCTTCTGAAAAGCTGTATATGAGCAGGGTGCATGTCTAAGCTGAAAGTCCTCTTGGGCATTAATTACCACCTCTGCCCAGATGTGTTTTCTCCACGAGATACTTGTCTTCCACCAGGGTCTCCCCATACTCTTCACATCTGGTTGTGCTTTCTTTGGATTCTTATACCACCAACTGATATTGGGCATGTCCCAGACAGTATGAGAAAAGGTCAGCTTTTCTGAAAGACCTTCCTCTGGCTTCCCAGTGCTCTTCAGTCCAAAGGATCCCAATCCCCACCACCAACAGAAACCTGCTCATGTGGTCTAGGAATGATCCTACTCAATACTACAACAATCCCCAAAGCTTCTCCATCATGCTGATGATGGACACCAGGGAGGTGCCCGCATGTCAGTCTCTATACTCCCTGTAGAAGCCACAGAGCTGTAGTCCCTACAGCCAACAAAACCTGATAATGCATGGGTGCCTGGCTCAGCTGGCTAACACAGGTGACTAGAGCCACCTGAGATGCTCCTGGTTACTGAAATGTCACATATGGTGGAAAGATATGACAAGGGGTCCACAGGAGACTTGTACACTTCTGGATTGGCAGCTGGAAGCAAGGTAGGACAACAGAGACCATCTCAAGCCACCCTGGGTATCCCCATTGAGACAACTGAACTGAGTGGTAGATGTCCAATTCAAGATGGGAGGAAAGCTTTCTAGACTCACAAACTCTATGGGGTGTGGACACCTTGTGCACAGGCAGACACCCACAAGTGAGCATCTTAATCTGTGAGCTGAATCCCACCCCGGAGTCTGAGGCACAGATACCCCAGAGGGTACCACCACAAAATCACAAACCAGGTGAGAGTTAGAGCTCTGCAACCAGATTGCTGGGACATGGAGAGAGAAAAGAAGGGATGCTGGTGTCCAAACTAAATCCATCTTTGGTTGACAGCTCTTTCTCTGACTGCATGGCAAAGCCCAGCTATGATGGTGCTTCCCAGGGACTTACCTGTCAGTCAGTGGAGTGATGACAAGCCGAGGGGTATTGCCAAGGTATTCATAGGAGTACAGGAACTGGGCATCACAGATGTTGGCAAAGCAGTGCCGTTCCTCATCTGACCATCTGTGCCGGAGCTGTGACAGCCAAATGAATGCCTGGGCATTGTCCACCTGCAACACACCCACAAGCACCATCACGGAAAGGCCAGGGATGCCAGGCACATGCAGCTCTGGTGCCAAAATGATGACTGAAGTTTTCATTGGGGATGGACCGGTCCTCGCTGCGAAGGCAAGTGTGGTGAGGAAGGTCACCTCCATATAATGTGGTGAGAAATGTCACGTCCCCCTCTCCCATCAGTAGAGGGTAGGAACCAAATTAGTAATCACGTTGGTGGGAGAGGAAAAGGTGAAAACCCAAGAGAAAGAACAGCACAAAAAGACTCACAAAAACAGAAAAGGAGCAGAGGCTGCCTAGACAGGGAAGGGGCTAGAGACAGCACCAGGGAAACATGCTGGGGACAGGGGGACAAGGCCAGCCATGGCCAGCACTCCCTGTGCAACCAGCAGGCAGGCCCGGCAGCTGGACCACTTCACCACAAACTGGGCCAAGGCACCACCAAAGGCAGCTGAGCCTTGAAGCCAGAACCCTGCGAGCAGCCTGGCTGCCTCTGAGAGGACACAGGGGAGAGTGAAGGCACAACCCAGCACACTCAGGGCACCTCCCCACCCACCTGCAGGGCTGGACACTAACACATTGTCAGGGACAGGGGAGTGGTGTGGGAGAGCTGTGCAGGACAAGGGAGTCCCTGTGGCCCCACACCAGACCAAGGAAGCTGCAAAAAGAAAAAGCCAAAATGCTTTTTCTTACTTTCTGAAGACATAACTGAGACGGCATCCAGCAGCTTCCCAACACAATGCCATCATCCACCAACATGTGCCTTGGCACCAGGACACAGGGCCACACTCACTCCTGGTGCGGATGTGGCAACTACAGCAAGCCCCATGGTGTTGCATGGCCATGAAACAGAACAGCACTGCAAGCTTACGGTGGCTTTCTGCCTCCTTACTGCAAAGATTGTAAAAGAAAATTTAATCATGTATCTCCCAATGAGACAGGCAATGATCTGGATGGCCTGTGGTTGGTCTAGCCCTCCTATAACCCCCACTCCAATGCCCAACACAGGACCACACTGAGCTGCGAATACAAACCTTCTGCGCTATCATTTTCGCCACCACATCCCGAGCATGCACATCGATGGTGCATATGGTCATGATTTTCTGTCTGTCACCTTTGGAGAGCTGCCCAATCAGCATGGTAACGAGGGTGTTCAGCTGGGTTACTTGCTTCTTGTGATATTCCTTCATTGCATTCTCATAGCCTTCCTCCACCCTGGTGAAGGCAATCCCAACCTCGGTTGTCCACCAGATCTGGGTGCAAGAAAGAGCCACCTAGGGAAATGGGATGGGTCAGTATCAGGAAAAAAACCCAGAGATTCCTTACTTTCAAGAGTGACTGATCCACGGGAAGATTTAGGGTGAAGTATCTGTGACATTAAGTATTTTTTCATACAGTAATCATAGCAGACAGGACAAGAGGGATCTGCCCTTTGACATTCATTTAAAACATCATATCAATGGTAGACACATTTAGTAGCTACTTAGTAGCAGTGCCTTTCACATGCGTGACACAGCAGAGGAGGAAGAGCTGGATTCCAGGAGGCTGTCAGACATGCATCTGAGGGGCTCTTTTCTCTCATTAGGCCTCACCACTTTGTTTTCCTGCACCTCTCACTCCTCTGGGTGTAGTAGAGTTCCCGTGACCCACAGGGTGCTGCAGGCACTGCCCAAGCCCCCAAGCTCTGTAACCCAGCCAAGAGGGTATCCTCCCTGGAGCCCCAGCCAGAGCGTGGAGCTCAGCCTGGAAACTCCATCAGGAGATCGCCGGGTTGAAGGACAACACATCCTTCCTCCTGGACAGCCCAGTGGAGGCCAGAAACATCCCCATCCACAGCTGGAGGCCATTACTGAAAGAAGGGAAGGGCAGGACTGAAGGGGAAGCCAAGCCCTGCCTTTCCCACGTGCCAGCCTGAGTGGAGATGAGAAGCAGGGGCAGATACCTGAGCAGGGTAGTCAAAGAGCCACTGTTCCCTTGGCTTCTCCTCATAAGCCATGACGGCTTCCGTCATCTCGTCTCTCACAGTAGCCCTCATGCTGTCTAGTACATGGTTCAGCCAGACCTCAACCTGGAGAAGAGATTAAATCACAGTAACACGTTTGCTCTTTTTAAGCACCTTTGGTAATTAGTGGAGATAGGGAATGGGGCAAGCCCAAGTTAAACAAGCTCACAGCCTCCTTCAGACTGGGTGGATTTAGCCAGTTCTGGTACTGCAGGATTAACATCTATTTCCAGACACCAAGAATACCAGTCAGATTTTTCTTGAACTCCAGCTACAGGAGAAACCAAAATGAACCCCACCAATAAGTAATTTAGTTTGGTGCATTCCACCTCTAGGCCATGACAGAATCACTCGTGGGACTTGGAGACAATCTGCCAGCAGCAGGAGAAAGCTGCTACCAGTGTTTTAGTTTAAATGCAGCAAGCTCCGTCACTGGGGAGCTCAGCAGCTGGTATTACGTACTGTAGCTTCCTATAATAGTTCATGGAGAAAGGTGCAACTACAGGGACAGATAAGCTGAGCAGTGGTCTGATTCTTAAATTTCATACTTTAACTCACCCTAAGAAAGAAGGAAGACTTGGAAAACAGGAAAAAAAGCCTTCTCTTTCAGAAGATACCCACGCAGAGGTACTATGGAATGGCTTAGTCTATTTGTGACCTACGGGTCAATGTCCAGATGGAGACCAGTGACAAGAGGTGTCCCTCAGGGGTCCATACTGGGACCAGTGCTGTTTAATATATTCATCAGTGACATAGACAACGAGATCGAGCACGCCCTCAGCAAGTTTGCAGATGACACCAAGCTGAGCGGTGCAGTTTACACACCAGAAGGACGGGATGTCATCCAAAGAGACCTGGACAAGCTGGAGAGGTGGGCCTGTGTGAACCTCATGAGGTTCAACAACGCCAAGTGCAAGGTTCTGCACCTGGGCGGGGACAATCCCTGATATCAACAAAGACTGGGGGATGAAGGGACTGAGAGCAGCCCTGCCAAGAGGGACCTGGGGGCACTGATGGACGAAAAGCTGGACATGAGCCAGTCATGTGTGCTGGCAGCCAGAAGGCCAACCGTACTCTGGGCTGCATCAAGAGAAGTGTGGCCAGCAGGTCGAGGGAGGTGATTCTGCCCCTCTACTCTGCTCTGGTGAGACCTCACCTGGAGTACTGCGTCCAGCTCTGGAGCCCTCAGCACAAGAAGAACATGGAACTGTTGGAGCAGGGCCAGAGGAGGCCACAAAAATGATCCGAGGGCTGAAGCCCCTCTCCTATGAGGATAGGCTGAGAGAGTTGGGGTTGTTCAGCCTGGAGAAGAGGAGGCTGGGGCAGACCTGATTGCAGCCTTTCAGTGCTTAAAGGGAACCTCTAGGAAAGATGGGGACAACCTTTTTAGTAAGGTCAGCTGTGACAGGACAAGGGGTAATGGTTTTAAACTGAAGCAGGGTAAGTTTAGACTGGATATAAGGAAGAAATTCTTTCCAATGAGGGTGGTGAGACACTGGCACGGGTTGCCCGGAGAGGTAGTGGAGGCCCCATCCCTGGGAACCTTCAAGACCAGGTTGGACAGGGCTCTGAGCAACCTGATCTAGTTAGTGGTGTCCTTGCTCACTGCAGGGGGATTGGACTAGATGACCTTTAAAGGTCCTTCCAATCCAAAGCATTCTATGATTCTACGATTTTCAATCTGCATCCCCTCCCTTACAGAGGATATTTGTAACAAGCTGTAAGACTAAAACATCTTAGAAAAATTCAAATAAAAAAAACTTACTTAGAAGAAGGCCACAACCCTTTCTCTCACTGTGGACTGTGACACCTATGCCTCACCTTAGTGAGGACCTACCCAGAGTGGGACCCAGCGCTGTGGTGTAAGGAGGAATTAAATTACATACCACCTCTTCCAGCCTGTCTCATGCTTGAAGGAAGAGTAGTGAATTCTACAATGCCTTGGCAACAGGTGTCCACCCCAGGGGCAGGAGAGCAGACTCCATCAGACAGTTTTGATAGCCAAGGTTTTCCCTCTCACCTGCCCGCTGCAGTCACAGGGTTCACTGAAGCTGACGTATTCCTCCTCTCTACTGTACATTCCCAGGCCAACCTTGGTTGCCTTTTGCTCAGAGTCCAGCTGGAATTTCATCTTGGCCAAGTTGTCAAAGAGTTTGGAAAGATGACGTTGCACCTGCAAAAGCAATTGTAGAAATAAAGCGACTGAGACAGAACAAGCAGAATGGCCAACCATACATGTCACAGGCACGATCATGTTCACAAAGCATGATCTTGGGCAGCTTGGTAGCACCACATCTTCTCACACATGGCCAGGATACTGCCAACATAAGCCTCTTGCTGTCTCTCCCAATACTTCTACCTATTTCTATGTCATTTAGAAAACAGACATGCCTTAATAAATCATATTTCCCCTCTGGAAAATCTCCCATACAGGGCAAAAGCATAGAAAACATTCAAAGATTGCATGGCCTCCTAGCCCAAATCTCCCTACATGTAGTGATGAGAGTTCTCTTGCCATTGCTCCACCTCATCCCATTCTCAGCACACCGTGGAGTTTTCTTCACTATGAACCTTTCTGGTTTTTTACTACTAGAAATAGATTTTGTGCCAATAGAAAGTCCTGAATTCTCATCCATGGAGATGAAAGACATTTATTTCTGCCCAAGACCCATAATAAACAGCTTAACAACCCAGACCTTCTACAGAACCCCCATCTTGACCAAAAGCACTCTTCCGGAAGGAAAAGAATAATTCAGTCCTGTCCTGTTCACACCTGGCTGAGTTTGAAAAGCCAACAGGGAGATGCTAGCATTGCTGCTGCAGGGTCTCAACATCAGCATCTGCCTGCTGGGAGCTGAGCAGGTCACCAGCATTCTTTTATATCACTGCATAGTGTACAAATAAATCACTGTGTGAGTGTCACATGCCACTGCCAACAAAGGCGGGCTTCTCCCAGGAGTGATGTTCCCATGGCAAGGGTCAGCTCCCAGAGCTGTCCCAGACAGGAGCTGCCTCTCTCAATGACAGCCAGAGATAGGGAGATGGATGGACTCCCATGGGTGGGATGAGAAATGAGGACAGCCCATGACACCTGGGCCTCTAATGCTTTCCCAGAAAGACGGGTGGGCTTGTCGGTTTAATTCTTGCTCACTGATTCACAAAGGATTACAACACTCCTTTTCACAAGCTGTCCTGCGGGTGGACATAGCTCAGTAGTCATCTTACACACATTCAAGCAGGGCCAAATCCTGGAAGGTGCTAAGCACCTCTGAGAAGCTATGGGACCTCAGCTTCCCCCCAGATAAGCATATCTCCTTTCAAATCTTAAGTAAACTATAGAAACCTTTTCTTACATCTAGAAGTCTCTGCTGAAAAATGCCCACTGTCTGTTCCCAGACCCTGGACAGTCTGCAGGGCTTCTGATGCACTCCAGTGCTCGCTGCAATCCTGACAGCAGAGCCCTGAATACACCTGAATCCACACAAGTTCAATACTCAGTTCAAGAGGATAATACCATTGTGTATTTAATCCTCCGTTAGGAATTATCAGACTTTGAAACTACAGTGGGAAAAGCTGAGAGTGTATCCGTGTATGATCCTGCTTGACATTTACTTTGATTATACTGCAAATAGTTTTGAATAGCAGAAAACACCAGGAATTTCTTCTTACTCCATGGAGCATTTCAACACAGTATCTTTTCTTTGCTTCCTCCACAGGATGATCCAGCAATCCACCAAAGTCAACAGGATGAATGGTGTATTCAGAGTGATTTCCCCACATCTGGCATTCAGGCACCATCCCCAGAAACCCAGCCTGGAGAGAAGCCTCCTCAGTCAGATGGCACAGAAGCCCAGTGCAGGACGCCAGATACCCAGCTTGGCCCCTGAGCTGTGCAGGGATGGATGGCAACCCAAGAGATCCACTTGCTTGCCTTGGCCATAGCCACAGTCTGACCACCAGCTACCTCTTTCAGATTGTGTTCTTCACTCCCCCTATCATCAGGATGTGCCGAAGGCCTTTGCATGGGGGAAGGAAGAAGTGGCTTACTAGCAAATGCCTCTTCTGCCTAAAAAAAAGGGAACTCTCCAAGCCATCCATTGTCAATACTTCCACATTTCAGTGCCCAGTCTGTGGCTCTTTCAACAGCAGATGCTGTTTGGTGGCACCCTGGGTTGGGGATCCAAGGTCAGCAACAAGTTTTGGCTGAGATCCTCAAGAAAGACGGTTTCGTCGAACCTCACTGTATCTCAGCCGAAACAAAGCCACTGTTTTTGTAGCATCAAAACCATAACTCTATGCAACATTTTCAGAACCATTTGCAAGCATCACCAGGGTTGGATCAGACAACACAAAGTGCATGTGTTGCCTTTCAAAGATGACAGATGAATGCCAGCTGTGAAAGAAGTAAGGGTGGGAGAAAAAGCACTCGAGAAAGGATACAGGAGAGTCCTAAGGCAGCATCTTCCACCGTGATACTACTGACAGCTGGAAAATACAAGGGTGATGCAGTACAAGACTTACCAGCTGTGGGTTGGTGCCATTGGAAAGGATATCCAGTAAATCTGCAGAAGAAATGAAGTAAAACCTGGGAAAGGCCAACCTCTTCATGTCCAAATATTCAGCCAAAGCCTTCTCACACAGAGACAACCTGGGGAGACAAAGCAGATAAATGGAGTCCAGGATGGGTGGGTAAACATCTTTTCATGTTTCATGCTGCAGTTATCAGGCAGATTCTGCCCTACCATGGGGAAATGCGAGGCATGAGCTGAGCCTGTAGGATGGTCCTCTACAGCATTTTCCAAACAGGTCAACATAGCACACAGTAACTCATAGATCCTTCTCTACTCCCAAGGGTCAAATAGCCTAAGAGCCAGAGAAGCCTCATAAAAAAAGCAGAAACACGGGTGGAAGAAGAGGCTGGAAAGGGTTTGCAGTCTGACCTACCATTTCAGACAAGCTCATAATTGCCACAGGTGATTTCACACTGGGATGAAAGTTTCCATAAATGCTTTTATTCTAATGAGCCACATTTTAAAGTCTGATTCAGACCTACTCAGCTTTTTGTGTTTGTGAAGCCTGAAAGGAAACTTATTTGCTCCGATCGAAAATGAATCTTTCAGTGCTTACATGCGAAACTGCTGCTGAGCTTACAAAGCTCATGAGTAATGTGCAGCTAGTCCTCTGTGAGGAACACCGGCCTTATCTGATTAAAAATAAAATAAGTATTTTAAATGGATAGTTATTACTGGCACAACAGCTATCGTATTAACTTTTAAGTGTGTTCCAGGTAGGCCAACTCATGTTAAGTGAGACGTGTATCCATCTCAGGACACTAAAGTCTTTCTCAGATAGTTATACCATGTGTCAAGGGTATACGCACAGAGGTAATTTAGTAAATTAAAGAACATGGGCTCAGCTCTGCTGCAGATATCCCTGCTTGGACTGCTAAATAGATATTTCAGACCTTGTATTTGGGATGGCAGTGAGGCCATGTGTCGTTAAAACCAGCTGAATACTGAGCTCTGTATGTGTGTAAATCAATATTCAGGATGAGAATTTGCACATATACAAAGCCAGACTCCGCTCTGGAGGCTTCAGGGTGATGGATCACAAATAAAAAAGACTGAAGAAAGCTCAGAAATGCTGCGACTTGTGAATGCAAGGAATGCCTAGTTTAGGAAGAAAACCTTGGGGCACAGGTTAGACAAACTTATTAGAGTTGATCCCAGTCTCTGCCAAAATCCTGGGACTTTTGAAATTCTACCTACCTACTCTGAATGTCTTCCAGTTGCTGGGACAGACCTGGTTTATTGGTGGCCTCAACTACATTTGGGGTTTTCTGAGCTTCATAGGCCAGTTCTTTAAAGTCCACATCAATCCCTTCAAAGCGTTTGGAGTCCTAAAAAGCAAGACAAGGAACACATTTGTGGTAAAACACTGATTTTGTGTTAAAAGATCCCATCCTCTGGGTGCTGTCTTTGGGTTGAGGGGAAAGACTCTCTGCAGACAGCCTCCTGTCCAGTGCAGAAGGACCTCTTCACCATTACAGGAGGGGTCTTCCAGCCATGTGCCCAAAACAAGTCTCCAACAGGGCACTGGGCACTCACCACCTTCTCACTGTATCCCACAGGGTCATGGATAAAGAGCTAACATGCAGAAGGCAATGCCTAGGACCAACCATTTTCATGGGATTGAATTCCCCTTTGAATGTCTCCTCATAACTCCTCCTCTCCCATGTCCAGATGAAATACCAGGTGTCCCTAGCCATAGCAGCAGGAGATGCTCCCATTTGGGGGAAAGGCTACCGATTCCGTGTGATTTCTCTCTTCCCTCTTGCTACTATGTAGGAGTCCCAGTCCCCATCCCTGAAATAGGTTTGATGACTCTTGCAGAGTCTGAGAGCCCTTCCTTGCTTAGGTAAGGCCATAGAAACCCCACGTCGGCAGCAGAGGAGCATGCTGACAACTACGCTCTGCACCTAACATGGACCCTGGATTTCTGGAGTTAACAGTGAAGAATAAATAAAGCTATGTTCAAAATATCTCTGCTCCTCCCTTCTTCCCAAGCCAGGCCTCCTGAATGAGCCAGGACACTGAATAAAAGTGCTCCAAGGTTTCCCAGTAATACTTTCATGTCAACCTGTGTTCAGCCCGGGCAGCGAGGCTCTGGCTGGAGGGTTCATCCCTCCCTGCACATAAGCCATGTAGCCAGCTTCAAACGTGCATCCCATGCCCTGACGGCACATCGTGCCCCAGCCCTGGATCCATCCCAAGGAGGTTCAGCCTCCAGAGGCTTCGAGCTTCATCTTTTCTTCTAAGGAAGGGAAGAGGCTGCTGATTTGTGCCACTGGCCAGATGGGTATTGAGATGTAGACAGCTGCCCAGTAGGATGTAGATTTAAATCATGATGTGATTTCATGCATACCATCAGGTAGCTGTTGGATATGAACAGCTTGCTGGCACATGGTACAGCTGTCAAGGCACTGGTTATCAGCACCTGTATATATTGCCCAGTAAGCAAGGCATGCCCAGCTCTCTCCAAAGCAGAAGGAGGCACAGTTCAAGCAGACCAAAACAAAGGAATGGAGACCACAGTGTATCATCTGGGCGTCACTGGGCTGTGCACACCCCTCTTGACACCCCCAGTCAGTGCTGCTGCACATGGCTGGGGATGGCAGTGACCCAGTCAACTGCAGCTCACTCAGCAGGGCTGTGAGCAGTCCGGAGGGGTCAGGAACCAGCTTGAAAGATTTTCTTAATAATTAAGGGAATCTAGAATAAGAATGGAAGCTGGAGTAGAAGATGGTCCCAAGGAAGTCAGCCATGACAGCTCTGCTCCATTTCCCGAAGCAGGAGTAGGAGAACAGCTGCACACCCACTGCACCAGTGCTGAAGGCAGGGAAGAGGATGCTGCCAAAGCTGCCTGCTCCAGCTCTGGTTTGACGATTTGCAATGTCTGAGTAATTATCTCAGTCCTCTCCCCTCCAAGGAAAGAGGGAACATGCCTGCAGCACTGAGGGAAGCCAGCAGCCTCACGCTCGGTCTCCAGGAACTCTGCATTTGCTATGCCGTGGTGGAGGGGGGAAAAACAGCTTCTCAGCATGGTTCAAGCACAACCTACAGTACAAAAGCATCCTTGGGCAGCACTAGGGAAACTCCTATGGCACTAAGGGAGCATCCAAAAATCAAGGCAACAGAAGAGCCCTGCTTTGGGGACCTTGGCATTCCAGATAACCCTATTTCATATAATGGAGGCTCTTCAACAATTTCCAAACAGGAAAAATTAGGAATGGGGGTTTCATACCTCAGGAAGCTGTGCCCGTATATCTTCTGAGCCTATGAATATGCTCTCCAGGTGAGACCATGTATGCTGCACTTCGAACCAGAGAGAAATGACAGAGTCCGCAGCGGACAGCTTCCTCTGCCATGCAGACACTTCCTCCAAGAAGAAAGCAATATATTTGGATGTCATTAAATTCTGCAGCTGCACCTGGTTGTCTTCTAAAGTTTCAATGAGTTCCTCATTGGACTTCAGCAATGGGATGTTCATTCGGGGGTGAGGCTCATACTGAAACTCCATAGTGCTCCAAGTCCTTTGTAGCTCCTTCAGGACTTTCTCCATACTCATTTCTCGCACAGCTTTGTCCACAATGCCACGAACTTCATCCTCAAAGCTATGCAGGTTGAGCTTCAGGAGGTCAGCCAGTGTGGTGTCTGAGTCCATCACAAACCTCACACCCGTCATCTGCATCAGTTGATTCCAGTGTCTTTCTCTAATAGCAGGGTTTTGAAGTTCTGCGACAGCTTTCAGGGCCGTCAGCATGTTCTTCACCTTACTGTCCAGCCCCGTGAAAGCATCCCATGCCCTCATTTCCTTATCCAAATTCCAAATCTCTCTTGCAAACTTTTTACACTCCATATCCATGTTTTCCACATTGATATCCACCCATTTGGTGGTCTGCCAGTCATCAAGGCTCGTGTTCACAAGGGAGATCATATCCCAGAGCTCTTTAAGAAGACACAGCTCCTTTCGGCACTGCTTCAGTTGTTTATAATCTGGCACCATGACTTCAAACAGACCAGCTGATTCATAAATTGAGGTCATGGCTGACTCCATTTGTTTAATCTCAATGTGCTTTGCATCCAGCAGTTGATAAGGTTTTTCAGTGTCAAACCTAGAAAGAAATGTTTATTCTTCATAAGTGATATTGTAACAACTTCTAAAGAAAACATAAAACAAACAGAGCTTCTAAAAGACAAAGCAGAGATGAAACGTCCATAGTACACATTGATGATACAGCCACATGGCCCTATGGATGCCACCTTAAAGTGATATTGTGCACTCAGCATCCAAATTCAATCTCTTGCTAACACTGGACAGTGTTTCCCAGGGACAAAACACCCCAGGCAAAACAGATACAACACTGTGAGAAGGTAGGAGATTTATGACAGGGCTCAAGCATACATCCTCAGGACACTCAGAAGTGATCCCCTAACACTTTTTTTTCATGGGGGCTTCTGTACCTGAATGGTGCTTCTTTCCGAAATCGCTCTCTGAATCTGTGCTGCTCCACATCAAACGCCGCACAGCTCTTGCGCAGAACTGTCATTTCATTCGCCTGCAGAGGAGCCACATGCTGTTTCACAGCTATTGCCAGCTTCTTTATATTGTTCCATTTTTCTGGCAGCTCCTGCAAACAAAATTTAAATGCTGGTAGGCAGTATTTGATATTTGATATAAGATGCATCTAATCTGTTTATGGATAATCACACAACAGGAAAAGCAACAGATTCCACGTCTAAAACAATAAGGAAGTTTTGTTGTGATGCAAAGGCTAAACACATAATTTTGGATAAAACTTCACAATTTTGAAGACTAATGAAGAATGAGACCTTATAACTGACTGCTCTGATTGTAAAAATATCTTCAATAACTTCAGAAGAAGGGTGCCAGACTGGCTCCTGGCCTCCCTCGATGGCTCAATGCTCAAGAGAGAACAGTGATCCTAACACCAAGCCCAGCAGGACCTGGAGCTTGCTGGGAGAGGCCAAAGGCAGGAGGATGGTCTGCAGATGCAAGCTCATCAGGTCATCTGGCTCCTCAGAGGTAATTAAGAAACAGAGCCTGGGAAATTTCCTGCCAGTTCTTGGAGCAGAAGATGATGTTATACCAGAAGGGTTTCTGGAGAGCTTTCTGGGGCAAATCCCTCCAGCCTGTGTGTATAATATTAGTACTAAATAAGACTGGTTTCTTTCTCAGGTCTGCATCCAAGCTGCAAGTGCACAGCACTGCTGACAATCCACCCTCCGTACCTGGGATTTTCTTCAGAAAGGGATTTTATTTCTCCTCACTATGCTTCTCGGGCCACATCCTCAAGCCCAGACACTGACCCCAGCCAAGGGCTCTGCTGTCCTCAAGCCCCAGCGCTTTGCTCTTGGAAAGCCCACTTGCCCAGTTACTGTGCAAGCCTACAGGAAAGACTTTGGGGTTCTTTTCATCCCACTTCACATAACTAAGGAGATTAATGGAGACCCACAAACACTATGGAAAGAAGAGAAATAACCTGGAGGCAGCTCTGAGGCAGCCGAGATAGCCAGAGCAGGGCCAGTCCCTCTTGAGGGGTCTCCTTCTGGCACTTTATGTTCCAGTCTCAATAGAATTCACCATCCCTGACCACAGCAGGGCACACATGGACCTGCTTCCTTGGTCTCAATACAAATGACCAGTGCCCACCCATCCACCTCCAGGACCATGGAGGGAGTGGTACCTAGAGGAACTTATTTCTGGTTTTCCCACCATATACAGGAGCGAATGAATCATTCAACTACGCATTGCTGTCACTTGCCAGAAAGAACAAAACTGTTATCTCCTGCATCTGAACGGGTGCCCCACATCCCTCATTTCTGCTATCAGAAAAAAAAAAAATCAGTTGTTTGAATGTACTTGCACAAACAGGCACCAAACAAGCAGCTCTTGGGCAGAGGAATTAGCAGAGCCAGGTTTCCCCCAGCATCATGTTTTATGCTGGACTGAAGCTGTTGCAGCAGCCAGAGCATCCATGTAATGCAGCTTTCCTAGTTTTCAGGGAGTCTGTAGGAACCTAGGTATCTGTAGGACCCTTAACGCTTCCAGCTTTGGTGACCCGACCACCCATGGATCACAGTTGTGCAAGCAGAAAAACAGGGGATTGCTAAATTCCACTCAGTTCCCACCCAAGCCTGCAGCAGAGAGCTGGAGCCTTTGTTGCACAGGTGCATAAGGCAGGAAAATTTCTCCAAAAAGTCCTGCTTTAAACCTCATGTCCTACACAGACCCCTCTTCCCACAGCACCCCATGACTACAGGGTATCCATCTGCATGTAGCCCTGTGCTTCTCTGCCCTAACCTCTTGGCTGTTGCCAGTGCTTGTCTGCTGTTCCCCAAGGCTAGTCAGGCATCTCACAGTCCTTTCTAGCCTCTGTCTCATGGTCCCCTTTCCAGAAACAAAAGAAATCCCCCAAAGAAAACTAATTCATCAGAGCCAGATGTGGAAAGGTGCCCAAATATTTTTGTAACCTGCTCCTAGTGATGTCCTCTGGGTCAAGCAGATTTGATGTTACAGACCCAGTGGACTGAATTCCTATGAGAAGGCAACTCTTCTGCCAACATTATCCTTCCCACCTCCACAGTTGCCAAGAACTGGCTTCTTTAAAAATAATTATAATTCAACCTAATTAACAGATGTATTTGAAAATGCATTAATTTTTTTCAAGAGTAATCACTGGGAGTTGGAGAAGGCAATTCTATGTTTTTCATACATAACAAAAGGCTTAATCTCTGCTTTAAAAGAAAAATCTCAATATAACTCCAAAATTTAGAGCTGTTAAGGCACATCCCACAATAGCAAAACACTATCCACTGAGGCCCTCTAATGACAGGGAGCGGGGTCTTAAATATTCCTACAATGCTCCTGAACTCACGCTCTCTTTGGCATCCCCTACTCAGCAAACTGGTGTGTCCACCACAAGTTGTCACCCACCTCCAGTTGCTTGTAGCCTTCCTCTGGCAGCTGTTGCTCGTATGTCTTCAGCAGTTCGATGGTTTGCTTCAGGGGCTCAAACACAGCATCGATGGCACCCTGCCTTTCTTTAACAGCCAGGAGATGACCCATAATCTCCACCAAGCCATCATAATCGCCTTTTTCAACCTTTTTGCTCAAACCTTTATCGGCAGTTTTTATGAACTCATCAAGGTCAGCCAGGCTATATAACACAAAGCAGGAAAGCAGAAGATGAGAGCGGATCCTACTGAAATAATTATCAGCCTTATGCCAGGCAGCCGGACTGGCATGGACAGGGGAATGGCCTGGCTACCCTGTCCATCACATGGCAACACACTGAGGGCATCAGAACCACGATTCCTGCTCAAAGGGATCCATAGGTGTGGGACAGCTTCCTGCAAGGAACAGGTATATAGTTTGGGACTTCTCAGGCTGGAGAACAGGTATCTGAGAAGGAGTATGACTGAGACGTGTGAGCTCAGGAGCAGTCTGGAGAGAGTGAGTGTGAAAGGACAGCTTTCATCTCATCTTTTCCAATACAAGAATTCAAGATCCCCAAATGAACCTGGCAGGTTGCAAAGTGACAACAGACAGGGGTACTTCTTTACACCAGGGTAATTCCCTGCTGCAGGATGCAGAGGACAAAAATTCACAGTGATTAAGAAAAACAATCAAACATTTGTGGGAGGAAAAAAATCCATCCAGGTCTTTAAATACAAAGGCATGACCCCTGTTTCTCAAAGTCCTTGAGCTATAAATTGTCAAGACACAAGGAGAGTGTTGGGGAAGTTTCCTTACCTGCTTACCCTGTTCTTAATCTTGCCAGTTACTGGGCACTCTTGGCAGAGGCACAGTGGGCTCCTGGATCTCTGGTCCCTTCCACCATAGCCATTTTCCTCTTCTCAAAACACTTACTTTTTAAGTGCCCACTTAAATTCTGTGGATGCTGCTGGGCCAAAATGCATCCTTAAATACTTCACCTAATAAAGGCTCAACTGCTGAGTCAGACACTCTTAATAAGAACTCCTAAATGCCTGTTCTAAGCTACACAAAAACCTCTTTGCACAGAAATTAACAGAAATACGGTGCTGAAAAGAACACAAGAGAGCATATAATCCACCACACTCAGCAGCCTTCGCTACTACGTATGTCTGTAAATACTTCTCTGTAAGCATCCAAGACCTAGGACATCCTTCAGCTGCAACTCCTCAGATAAATCACCCGACACATCATCCTGCATGGACCTGGCGACTGAGCAGATACTCAGAGCAGGGAATACATGTTAATTCAAAACTTACATCCAAAACTCCTCCTTTTTGTAACCTTGAAACTACCTCCCCATGACTGCTCATGCCAGGCAACCCAAATTACTTTTTTTCTTTTTTTTTTTTTTTTTTTTTTACACAGAGTGCACTCCAAAGAGCAATGCCTTTAGAAATAGAGCAAGTATCTCACGGCATTAATGCAGCTTTACTGATGGCTAATTTCAAATTCAACAAAGTAAGCACAGAGCCCTAGCAGAGATTAGTTTAGTTGGATCAGGATTAACGGACAAGCAGGCGGCCTATCTAACACAACACAGCAGGTCCCAGGAGCATCAACTGGTGGGACGTGAATAGTACCCAGTCCGTGTAACTGTTTCCACTTTACACACTCAGCTTTAGCAGTTGCCAGCAAAGACCAAGTGATGGAAGTTGGCATGCAGTATGGCTCCTCTTCTCTTGCTCCTGTATTAGCCTATTTGGTTATCAATGTGCAACCATCAAGCCCAGACAAGGCAAGAGAAATCTACTTTGGTCAGCCAAGTCCTGGGGAGAGGAGGCAGGAACAGCTCTTACCTGTACGTGACATGGTCCATGAGATGCTGCTTGAACACCAAGCTCCACCTTTTAATCATATTCAGCAAGGATGCCTTGAAAGGACGAGCATCGACTTTCATCCAGCTCTGGAAGATGCTGATGGGTTCAATGCGATTCACCTCCTCATAAATCTTCTCGTAGGAGTCGATCTGCTCTCTGAACTGCTGCAGTGTGGGAGGTGTCTTGGGGACCCCATCCTCTGCATGGGCCTCAATTTCTGCAGCGGTGAGGATGTGCCCATAGAGGAGGAACTGGCGGCAGAACTCCTTTCTGTCTTCCCCATAGAGGTAGGAGTAGTGGTCAAAGGCACTGCGGTAATCACAGCAGGCCACCATCACGGCTTGCACACGTCCCATCAGGTCATGGCGCATGTCAGCCAGATCAGCCATGTCCTCCATGTCAGCCTAGAAGAAGAGAGGAGATCATAGTGATGCTGGAGCAGTGTGGTACCTGCTCACTGCCACACAGAACTGGGGAGCTCCACAACCACGGACCTGGTAATGGGGGAAGCCGCTGTGCTCGGCCAGCCTGGGCACCAGCGATGAGATCCGGTAGATGTCATTGAGAAGACTTTCCACCATGTCGTAGAAGCCATCATTCGTGCCGGGGTCCAAGGAGGGACGAAATATTAAATCTGGCATCACTAAATCCAGTTGCACCTCAAAGAGGGGGGCAAGCCCTGCCTTGGGATCTGGTAGGGAAGAATGGAGATGCCAGGATCATTTTCAAGGGGAAAAAAGTGATTTTGAGCCGCCACTAACATCCAACCAGCAGATGCACGCATGTCCCACAGGAACACCAGGCAGGTGTGATAACAGACACCCACTCACTGGGTCCAGCAACATTATGTCTGCACACAACACAGGAGATGCTGGCAAACTGGCTGATGCTCTGGTATCCACAGGAAATACCGGAGAACAGATGAGACACAAGCGATGTAAGGACTGGGAAAAAATGGTGTAGAGGAAAGCCTTAAAGAGACCAGGCTCTTCAGCTAATCAAAAGGGAGTCTGAGAGCTGAACAATTACAGCGCATAAGTACTTGCAGAGGAGGAAAACAACAGGAACCAAGAGGCTCTTTAATACAGTGGAGAAAGGCATGAAAAAAACCCCCAGCAACTGGAAACTGAAGCCAAATGCAAATATAAAATTCTGTGCATTAACAAGATGGTGAAGAACTGGATTCAATTCTCCAACTCAGTGGGCCTCCACATCCAGGAGGGACGCATTCCTGAAGGTGTGGTCTCAGCAGCATGAATGAACCTCCAGGGTGGCCTTAGGCCAGAGGTCTGATTTAGTGACTCCTGAACGCATCTCATCTCTTTGCTGGTCTCATGCTCCAGGACTGAGGTTTTTCTTTCATGCCTTTTATCAGCAGAACTGACTCCTGAGACTCGCCACAAATGAAAGTTGGTGCCACCCTGAAGCTTTGTTCATGAGAGGGCAGCAGATGGCTGGTGCCCAAGCACAGACTTGGGATGACACCTCAATCTTTTCTGTCATTAATCTCTGCAAATCATGCATTGTCCTTTCCATCCCTTGCCCCTAAGTCACCTACCCTGTCTGGAGGCTCCCCCAGCACTCACTGCAGACAGTGCAAGAGGCACAGCAGAAAGCCAGGAAGAAGAGAGCAAATCTTAGGCACAAGGGAGAGCACAAAACAGAAGCCTCCCTTCGGTGAGGTTGAAGCAGGGTTAAGGAACCAGCAGTCACCTGTGTTTTCCAGCAGGTACTTGAGCGAGCACTCAATGGCAGTGAAGAATCCATCCAGGACTATCTCATCCATGTAATCCACATAGGCCTTCCAGTCATCAGATGCTGGGTCTGCAAGTAAGAGGCTCTGGTTTTCCTGGAAGAAAAAGAAGATGCCTTCAAATACAGCAGGGCTGAGTCTGACCTACAAGAGAGGTGCCTACAGTTAAGGACTGATGCCAGTGAAGCACATGGGCACCAGATTCATGGAGGGGTAGGAAACCAGACAGATGGATGTTGCTGGTGGCATGGCCACAATTTGCTCCTCTGTCAAGGGCTGCTTTGTCATCTGAAACAACTCAAAATAAAAACAGAGTGCAGAAGAGGTTTAGCAGCTCTGTGACATGTTCTCCTCCCTCTTCTGTTCTTTTGCCTAGAAAGGTTGGACTAGATGATCCTTGAGGTCCCTTCCAACCTGGGATTCTATGATTCTCCGAGGCCACAGGGCTCAAGGCTGCTTTGCACACCTGGGTCAGGGAGCACTCAGGGGTCTCAAAGGCTCATCCCAAGGAATGAAGACCCAGACCTGGTGGCCTATATAATGGTACCTGGAGTGGATGAGGCCTTCAAGGACTGCTTACACCTCTGCCCTACAAATGGTCATCTCAAGACCAGAGAACCTTTAAACTCAAGAGATTTCAAATAAACCACATAAAAACAGGTAAAGGCTGGGATCAAAAGACAAAGGGGTTGCTAATAACCTCCTTCCTCAGCTTATTGTGTTTCCTTCCTCCAGGGAAGCTCCCAGTCAGGAAATTCAGGGGGTTTTGGGTCACAGCAGGGGTCCATCCTTCTTGGCTTTCCTCCTCCCACCCCACAAGGCCGGGCTGTGCACCCACTCCCTGCACCTCCCAGAAGCCTCCCGTGTTCTGCTGGGATCCTGTCCCCTGTGTTACCATGGCCTCCAAATGCTCCTTCTCCTAAGCCTGCCAGGGGCTCTGAACAGAGACACGGTCACAAAAAAGGTAAGGTCCAGTCTGCAGTGAGCAGAAACCAACACACAACTGCCTGTTGCCAGGGGGTCAACGCTGGCAGCATTTCATGAATGGAGGCACAGGAGAGGGTGCCATTGCCAGCACTGACACAGCAGCTTGGCACACAGGAGATGAAGCAGCATTGCCAGCTGGGCTTGAGCCAACCCTAAGTTTCTGTTCCCCAACTTGACACATCATAGCTGGGTGCTTAAACTCTCAACAGAGCTCTGCCTCTTGCAGACTCACCCTGGCCATGTTGACCTGACACAAGAGAAAGGGGAACTTCATAGGAATGAATTCTGTGGGAACACCCCTCTGAAAACACCACCATTCCCTGTCCTTGTATTTGATAATGTCCCCTTGTTACTGGTGTTTTACTGAGCCTTTACTCCAGAGGCCTCATCCTCATGAAAGAAGGGCAACGGAAGCCAGCATCTAGCTGCCCCGTCTTCGCCTGTTGGTGCAGGTACCCAAGCCCTCACGGTGCTTCTCTCAGCAGCCTCAAGCCTGCTCCCAGGAAGACTTGACCAAGCAAGGGGAAGCTGAGAGCACCACCTCTTGGCCCCTCTGCTGCTGCTCCTCCAGGCTTGGCCAGCACAGGCAGGACAGAGGCATGGGGACACCCCCTTTGGGGCCATGGTGCCTTTCCCTCCCCATGACCTTCAGGCTGCTTTGCAGTTGGTCCTGCCCCTGTGAGCAGCACTGGCGGTGCCAGCCCATACAACCACAAGCCCATATATTCTCCTTGGTCAATCTAGAAAGTGCCCTGGTCTTTTGGGTGGTAGCTGGAGGTGGCTGAGACTGTTAGAGCTGCAGCAGCAGAACAATCTGGGCACAGTAAAATCCTCACCACAGGTTCAGTGTGCAGAGAAGAGGGTTAGAGGTGTCTTGGGATGGCTGCAGACAGCAAGGCAAGGTGAGCAGCGAGAGCTCAGCCTCCTAGAGAGGGTCAGCTGGTTCTCTCCAGCATCTGAGGCCAGATGGTGACCCTCAGGAGCAGGCTGGATCTAAAACTTATCTACCTATCACTCTGAGCAGGTAAGGAGCAGAGCTTTGGGCTTTCTTCCTGGCCTGCAAAGAGGGCTCTCAGTTCTGGAAAAGTTACTGGAAAACACAGAGGTTTTGGACAGAAGCTTTTCTCCTGTCACCCAGATTCTCTACCGACTGTCAGCATCACTTCCCGCTCCCACAGGGGGACTGCAAGTCTGAAACAGAAAGGTCAGCCACAGCCAGGTGCCTCTTTATTCTCAGGTAACTGTTTTGGAGGGGGAGTTTATTTCTGAGCAGGATCCCAGAGCCTGATGCACGACTCCCCTCTAGTGGCTCCAGAACAGCCAGAACTGCTGGAGCCAGACTCCTTCACTGGGCTGCAGCTGCTGCCATTCCTGCCCCAAACTGGGTCCCCATCGGTGTACTGCCAGCAGCCCCACACCACACAGCCGTACCAGCTCGCTCATCAAAGCTATTGTTAATTAACACTGGGTAAGATTTTCGAATTAGTTGACACAGATCTGGACATTTTCAACAGAGAAGAAACACACAGAGCATGTGAAGAGACAACAAACCCTTAGAGAAGGTCCCCCCCTCACCTTCACCAGCGAATGAATCTTCTGCCCTGACTCTCTGATGGTGCTGTAACGCCTTTCCAGACGGTCCTGGCAGTCTTCTAGGCTTAGCAGTGATTCCCTTTTACCATCTTTCCTCTCGAATATGGGTGACACCCATGATTGCATGGTGGTCTGGATTTCCTCAACATTGTTTTTGGCTTTCTGTATCCTCTGTTCAAGGTCATGGACACTATTCATCACCACAGAGATGTGATCCCAGATACCTAGTAAAAAATGAGATGATTGTCTACATGTTTTCAGAGCTGCTGGGCCAAGCTCTTGAGCACCCTTAAGACCAGTCTCTGACTTTTTCTCTTTGGTCTCATGAATTTCTCACCCATCGTTAACACAAGAGACTTACTATCTTGACCAACAGAGCCACTTCTAGCTCCCTCCCACCACAACAAGCCATGGTATGGACAGCCACAGCCTCTGCTTTCTGCTAGAAGTACCAGCACCGCGGGGATATCTGACAGTTCCCACTTATCTCTACCCAGATTTGATCTCCAGTGTTCTGCTACTGGAGTGAGTATCGCGAGGACAATGAGTACCACGGGCTGAGTATCCCCGCCACCATCACTAGAGCAGGGACCTTGCACCTGTAGCCCTAACGCATGGGCTGTGCCAGCCCCAGGTACCAGCGAGGGCTGTATTTAGATGCAGGGAACACTTTCATGCATTTTCATCTGCCCAAAAATCCTTTTATCTTTATTGTACAATGGAGAAAGAGTTTTTCAGTGTGAGGACTTCTGCTTTGCATATTCCCAAGGGAGGATTCTTGTTCCTGTTCATACCACAAGCCTGATGACAGAAATATATATTCCACCTGTGAGCAGTTTGCTTTCACCAAGAGGAAACAATTTGTCTTCCTCCACTCTGCTTTGCAGTTAAAACTGATCAAGCAAGAACAGTGGTTAAATCATCCCAGAGCCATGGTGCTAGTTGCAGTATTTCATCCCTCTGGAAAAGATAATGAGGTGGCCCTGCCTCTTACAGGGACAAGTCCATCCCAGTACCAGACGGCTGGGCCAGGGGTTCCCGCTCCCTGCACAGTGGGGTGAGAAAATGGTGCCCTGAGGACACAGGCAGACAACAGATCACAACAGATGACACAGGACACAACGGGTCACTTGTGCTGGCACAGGGGGGCCAGCACAGGCACTGAGCAGATGCTTCAACCCCAGCCTTGCCAGCTTTTGCAAACCCCAATCTTGCCATCTCCCGGCACCACTACTTACAGGGCAGCCTCTCCTCCCCAAAAGCCCTGGCTGAACCCGAAGGGAGCAGGATCCTGTCCACAACCCCAGCAGATCAAGGGAACGTGGAAAGGAGCAGGAAAACTGAGGGCTGCCCTTCATCTCCCCAGTGCTGGCTCCACTGGAGAGTCATCAGTCCTGCTGGGAACTGCAGTTGGGAAGCAGGTGACGGAGGTTGGGCACATGGGGAAGAAGTCTGAGGAGACCCAAGTGTATGCGTTCTTTCTTTCCCCCTAACAGAGAGCTAGCTCACCCTCCATCTTCCAGTTCAGTGTTTCTTCTGCCTCTTTCAGCTTGAAGTCAATATCCTGCAGCTGCCCCTGTATCAGAGGGTATTCAACCTCTAGGACCGTCTTCAGGACCTTGTTGTATTTGTTCACCATCAGCTCCAAGTTGGCCACCATCTGCCGGTATGATTCCTTGGAGGAATAGATGGCTGCTGCTGTCGGTGGGATGGCTGCCATCTTGCTGCCAGACAGGTAGCTCACCTCTCTCAGCACTGAAACCAGCTGGGAAAACAAGGCAAAGAGCTGAACATGGCGCAATCCTCCTCACCTACCTAGCAGACACTCTCCAATCAACTCTGAGTGTCTTGGGGGTTTCCTGCTGCTTTACTCACAAAGCAGTGTGCTCTGAAAAGGGCCTGGACACCTCCTAGTCCATACCACCTGCCTCTTATTGATCTTTGCCTCTGGTTTTCTTCCCAGCCAAAGACAGACAGCTCTGCTAACTACCCAGCCAGCAAAATCTATGCAGGCTCTAGAAGCCAGGATGATCTCTGGTCTTCCCAGCTATCCTCATCAATAGAGACTTGTAGAAACACCATGCCTGCCAGCAGAACTTAGCAGTTATCTAAGTGAAAGATAAGATGGCTCCAGTTCTGTTGGTTTGCTGGGCTGACTGGCAAAAATAAACAATCAAACAAACAAATGAATAATAATACCATGGCCCCAAGCCCAGTGACTTAAAACCTCCTGTGGCCACCTTTCACCAAAGATTTCTGCTGGAGCCTTCTCCCAGCCCAACCAAAAGCACCCAATGCCAGCGCATGTTTGAATTGCAACGGAACTGGATTGAGGGGGATTATTAAATCATGAACCCAAGTATAACAAAGGGAGCAGTGAGATATTCCAGTGCAATACATCACTTCTAAGACTAAAAATCTTTGCTCAGTTTAGTGGTTAGTGAGTAAAATGCTCCTGGAACTGCACGTGTTGGCAGGGTGACAGAAATTCAGTATGTTGTATGGGCAATGGCAGGGGTGAAGAACCCTCCTGGCTGTGGCTGAGCCTGGGATGCAGCTCCCTAAAAATCACCTTTCCCTTCAGTTGACAGATTGTATCATCCCTTCCTGTGAAGATGGGGGGAAGAAATCCCTCTCTGATCCTATCCTGTTCACTCCCTCGGGTCCCAGTTCCCTGCCCTTATTTTTCATAGGAAAACTGGAAAGCTGCAGGCACAAACAGAAGCAGGTGAAGCCACAAGCACAGGGACTGCATGGCCAGGGGCCTTTGTCACTGCCCTGGGTGACAGGCAGGGGCTATTGAAACCTCTCCACCATTGCCTGGCATTAACCAAAAGCCAACATCCAGCAGAACTGGCCAAGGCACCGGGGAAGCATGCTGCCTTCGAAGGGACGGCAAAGGGGAGGGACATGCGATGCAAGTCAGGAAGGTAAGTCATAACACCCGCAGAGTATCTACAATACTAAAGTGACAATGGACACAATAACAAGAAAAGGAAAGAAAGAAGGGGTGAAGAAGGGTGCAGGGGACAGTCTGGAAAGATGCAAGGGGTAGAAGGAAAAGGAAAACCAAGGGGACCAAGGAAGCAAGAGGGCGAGCGAGATAGAATCTCCTGCATGGAAGGTGAGCTCTGGAAGACTCTTCCATTCTGAAGAGTTGCAAATACATCCTGCCTCTAGGTGAAATGCGGTGCTCCTGTCTATTCTGGAGGGCATGAAGGGGCTTCCAAGCAGGCACTTGAGGACATCAGGTAGTCCTCAGTATGGAAAGCTGAGAAGAGTCGTGCAGAAGCACTCAAAGATGGGTAGAAGAGCTGAGAACAGGCATGCTCAGCACATCACAGACTCCAAATCCTGTCACCAGGGTGAAGGGTCGAAAGCATCCCCTGGGGCCATTTGGCTCACACCTTATTAAGGCTCTTCAAAGGAGATGGACAAATCCTTTGACTGAGGGCCAAGTCTGAATGAGCTCTAAAACCTAAACACTTCCCTCTAACAGCAGCCTGCCCAGGGAACAGGGGAAGGTTTTCATGCCAGTGTTTCCCAGACCCCTGACTTTCAGTGCATCCCCAGCAAACGGCACTTTTACAGTTGACAGACCCCGGCTCCCCCCATGCCCCGGAAGCTTTCAATCCATCTATGCACACTGTTGGCTTGGATCCCTGCTCCTGCTTTGGGCAAAGTAGATGGCCAGTCCGCCCTGTGCTGGAGACAAGCTTTAGGGGAACTCTAAGGGACAGAGAAAAGACCTCAAATCTATCGTAAGCCTCATGCACCACAATAAAGGAAATCTGATGGCCATGATATTGGAGTAAGGAACCAAACCTTTCCTGGGTTTTTTATACCCTCTGAGGAAGCTCAGACTTCAGGTACACATAATATGAACCCACCTCTATAGATGATGCCCCAACACTCCCCACACCGGTATCAAATCTGGTCTGGAGATCCTCTCACCAGTTAGACATCTGGCTACTCAGAGACTTTCTGTCACTGGCCTTAACTAGAATTTGCTCTGCTTAAACTGTAATCGTGATCTTTTACCAGGAGACAGAACCCACAAAGAGGATGGTAAATTCATGTTACCCATCACAAAAGGGGTTCCATGGACCTCAGCAGGACAGATCTTGTACTAACCCCACCAGACCTCCTGTGCATGGTGGGGCACAGCTTGGAGACATGCCCGCAGGCAGGCAAGAAAGCTGACTGGTAGAAGTTTTTACCTGGGGATCAAAATTGACTGTGAGAAGTTTGGTTTCTGGATCTCGCCGGATGAGTGGTTGAGTAAGGTTGTACTGCAATTTCTCAGAGACTGTCTGGGACCAGTCCTCATAGAGCTTTTCCTGATACCTGCCAGAGAAAAAAAAAAAAAAAGAAAACATCCACAATGTAGCTACCAAGCCAGCAGACCAAAGCAATAACCAAATGAAAGCCAAGCCCACTTCTGAGGACTGAAGAACATGAAGGAATATTAAAACCCCATCCACGCCATCTCCATAAACAACATGGCTCCAAATACAAACACCTGAAAACCAGTGACGGCATCAAGTCAGGATGGCAAAGACCTCTCAAGCACCATTTTTTGTGGAGGATTCAGATTTGGAGACAGACTTTCAAAAGCGTTTAGCCTAGAGTAATAGATAAGCAGCTACTGGGCATTTCCAAAGTGTCTAAGCAGGACAGGCGCCTAAACCTACACAAATGCCAGGGCTGGGTGCAGTTGCCCTCACTTCTCTCAGAGTCACTGCAGAGACACCTCCAGCCTCAGGGAAATCCAGCTCTTTGAGAGCTCAGCAACACCACCGAGAATGGAAACACAGAGGGCTGGATAGTCCTGGTATCTCAAATCACGCACAGTCCCAACCCAAGGAACAATGTCACTTTTGAATCCTGTTGTCATCTGAGCACTTTGGGAAGTGCCACCCAGAAAACACCATCTCTGCTGAAGCCACACAGGATCCTGCTCCCTTCTGAAAGGCTATTCAGCTTTTTTTCTGGCAGTCAGGAACAGGGCTCCCTCCAACCGCCCTGCAGCAGGCAGCAGCCAGATGGCTCAGCTCCCTTCACTGCTGACAAAGAGCAGACCCTGCAGACATCTTCTTCCCGGGGAGATAGCTCTTCCCAAGGGAAATCCCAGAATGAACAGTTCAGATTCAACATCAAATGTTAAGATATTAAGTCAGAGGCAATGAATCCTGCTCCGAATTGTGAAATATATACATTACAGCCACTGTAAATACACTCTGTGAATGGGCACAAGTGGGTTGAGACTTGTCAGCCCAGGTTTTCCGGCACAGCAGCTTCTACACCCAGCCGAAGCTTACTCCAACGTTCCTGCTAGGCTGCACAGCTCCTATTCCTTCCATGCAAAGTTCCCATTTCAAGATGTCACAGAATGTGGCATATAGCAACAGGATTCCTCCTCCTCCCTCATCCGAAAATGCCCTCTGGCTTAGAAAGGGACATTCCCAGGACCTGGGCTGGCAAATGTGCTGGAAGGTGGCTTAGAAAAGGAGAACAGTTTTTCATACAGTTACAGGCTCACCTGAGCCACCACTTACCTGTCGAGCCGTCGGATCATTTCTTCATACTTGTCTATCACCCTTCTTCCTTCAGCAGAGTCCAAGCAGCTGGTAGCACAACAGACAAGCTCAGCATTACGTTCAGCTCTGGAGGGCTGCAGTCCATATCTACCCCTTCCCAAGATCACCCACCAATTTGCAGGCAGCCTCTAACTGACTGGGGACGTTGGATTTCACCCCCGCCTCATCACCAAAAAACATTTCACTGCACAAAGGCTATCCAAGCCCCAGAGCGCTCTTTCCCAGGCATTTGCATGGAAACCTGCAGTATGGGAACCACATGCTGGGGGTAGAAGGGCTCAGCGCCGCTGGAGGAAGCTTCACACCCCATATCTGCATGGAGCATGGCAAACTCATCTTACCAGCCAGCACTTGCTGCTATCAAAGAGGCTCAGAAGGAAGCAGCATGTGGCTCCGGTTAGATGCAGCTCTTTGCGATGTCAAATTTGTGTCCCTCTAACCATAGGGGCAGGGAAGAGCCTATGGAACATGGGAGGCAGAGCTCTGGCCACACTGTATAACTGCCTCTGAACCCAGGGCAGCAGCCGGCCAGAGTAATTCTTTATAAGGCCATCTTTTCCCCACTGTTTCATCTGCAATATCCATGTTTTCTTGCAAATGGTTGTTGATTTTGGAGGACATTTTGACAAAATCTGAATTAACCTAAACAAAACCTAGCAAAGGGAGTGCCTTAGCAGTCACCTCTGGGCAAGCACTGATCAAACCTTCTGGAGGTAAACAAGTCCCCTAAGCAAACCCCAGCTAAGCCATCTTCATTTTCCTTTGTAACCCTTTTTCCCTTTCAGGTTCCACAGAGGAAACAGCATCATGTCACCCCTGCTGCAGGGCATGTTATTAACTGCTCTAAACAGAGGAAAGAAAATCAGTGCAAAATGCAGATCTTCTTCATGGTTTACAAAATTTTCCATTCAGATTCAAACCAGATATGATAACTTCGGCTCTGTGTCGGGGATGGTCCAAGAGCCTGTTACATTGCACTGATGTCCTTAGTGCTGCGGAATAACTGTGCACTTACTTCATGGTAATACACAGTGAGAAAAGGCTACAAATATTGCACAGTGATGGAAATGGCTTATTTTAGTCAAGCACATTAAAAAAGTGGATGCATTTACTCAGAATCCTGTCCAGCACAAGTAAAGCTACTCCTCTGAGCTGCAAGGTGCACTTCCTGGAGCACCTTCAGTCGTCCTAAGTCCAACACTGCTTTGCTTACAGGACTTTTAAATGCTGTCTCATACGATGCCACAAGAGGTGGCAGCTGTGAGTGTGGGGTCACATTTCTCCAAGACCACTCACAATAATAAGGATTGGCGTCATAAATATTCCAGCACAAGCTTCTATCCTTGATCTTGAGAGATTGCTCCTTTGTTTAATGCTGAGCAAGTTGCCTTCTGTCAGTGCCCAGCCAAGTCCTCATCTGTTCACCAACCTGGAAACTCAGCTCCATCAATCCATCTTAGACAAGTCCAGTCCAGCACCTGTCTGCCCTTCACAGCTTGGATGATACTTGTCCTGGTTTCAGCTGGGACAGAGTTGATTTTCTTCCTAGTAGCTGGCATAGTGCCATGTTTTGGATTTAGTATGAGAAGATTGTGGATAACATGCTGATATTTTTGTTGTTGCTAAGTAGTGCTTATACCAGTCAAGGACTTTCCATGCTCTGCCAGGGGCACAAGGAGCTGGGAGGGGACACAGCCAGGGCAGCCGACCCCAAATGGCCAAAGGGGCATTTCAGACCATATCGCGTCATGCCCAGTTCAGAAACTGGGGGAGGGAGGAGGAAGCGGGGGACGTTTGGAGTGATGGCGTTTGTCTGCCCAAGTCACCATCACGCATCATGGAGCCCGGCTGTCCTGGGGATGGCTGCGCACCCGCCTGCCATGGGAAGCAGGGAATTAATTCCTTGGTTTGCTTTGTTTGTGTGCACAGCTTTTGCTTTACCTATTAAACTGTCTTTATCTCAACCCATGAGCTTTCTCACTTTTACCCTTCTGATTCTCTCCCGCATCCCATTGTTGGGGGGGTGAGCGAGTGGCTAGGCGGGGCTTAGCTGCCGGCTGGGGTTAAACCACAACAAGGCTTGCAGCTGAGGCCTGGGCTGCTCCCAAACTTGTCCTGGAGCACATGCTGCAGTGGGAAAGGTTCTGATACCTCTTTCAATTGTAACCTAGGACTATGTCTGAAAGCTCAATAGCCTATGTACTATCCCACTGTGCTTCTTAACTACGTCAAAACAAATCAAATTAATGAGTTTCTTAAAAAAATAATCACAGGGAAGCTGAAAAGCACCAGTGCAATCACTTCACACCTCTTTGACTAAGAATTATTTCAGCTATAGCCATTGAACAACGTTCAACACAGAAAGAAAACCAGATTGATTAGAGAAAAGATATCAAGATGGTCATAAAACGACTTAGCTGGAACAGACACGCACAGATGTGTGATGTGCCTGAAGTGACCAAATGGCACTTGGATTCGTGCTCGCAGCTCCTGAGCCCAGCCCAGCGCTCCAGCTACTGGCGGCATGTTCTTGTGCACAGGGGGGGATCCTGGGGAGGGCACATGGAAACAGCATTTGACTGAACACTGCACCTGTAAGCTCCAATATACAGAAACTCATCTGCACAAAACTGCTCTGATTTCCCAGCTTCCTTCCTTAAATCCAAGCATCTGTGACACTGATGTAGGTCTGTGACCAGGACAAGTGTCCTAGTGCCTCTGAACCTTGAATAAGGACCAGGATTAAAGGATCCCATTGATTTTGAAGGACAAAGGGATAAGGACCAAGATCAAAGCGACTCAGGCATGGCATATGTTAGAAACAGAGCTGATACAGAGGCATCCATTGCCCGGGATGCATTCCCTGCTCCCCACAAACACTGATGTAGGAATTTCTGCCCAGGAGTTGGTTGTGACCATCTTATCTAACACCCACAGAACAACACCCCACCAAATTCACAGCAAAGGATGGACTCATCCTCTGTGAATCTCTCCATTCCCCCTGTTAACCTGCACTGGCTCCAGCAGCACTGCCTCTCTGGACTTGCCTGGTTCCAGCACCATCCTTCTGAGGCAAGGAAACAGGTTGTTGTTCAAAAAGATGCACTCTAATCCTCATCATCTGATCAGAGACTACCCGTTCCCTCCTATGCCAACATTCATGGGAAATAATAAACCTGGCAAAGGCTGATTAAACCCTTGGTTACAAAGTCCCACTCGCATGCTTTGCATTTAAAGCATTACCAAGGAAATGTAATAAAATCATATTAGGGAGCACATGAGTGGGTTTGCAAGTCCCACGGGGTGTTTGAGGCAGTGCACAAGCATGGAATGAAACCTCTTGTCACATCCTTGCTGGGGGAAAAGCTCAGCATGCACCTGCGTTCCCAGTCACATATCATGTATACACATTTTTAAAAGGACAATGTTTCCCCCAACCGATTATTTGCTTCAATACTAAGAACAGTCCTTTACCAGGCACTTCCATTTCCACCAGGAGCTATAGAGGCTGAAAACTTCTGCAATTTGGGAAGTTTTGGTTTCCCTTAAAAAGTAAATTATTTTTGCAAAAAATCTAAACTAAATCCAATTTCCTGTAAAAACAATTTTACTCAGCACATGCCACCCACCAAGCTTCAGCTCTGCCCGGATGTGCCTGGCATAGATCAGCCGAGCGTGGTCCAGAGTGCTGTTGAACATGCTGATGAGGACGGAGTATTTGCCAGCAGCATCTGCAGCAATGACTGGTCGCTCCAAAAGGCTCCCGAACATGTCCAGCAACTGTGGAGGTGAAGAAGGAGGGAAAGAAAGGGGAAAAAATTCACAACCCCAACTTCTGTGGAGAGTACCACTAGGGTTTTCCTTACTAGCCCAGATGTCTGCACCAATTGGCACTTTGGAAAAGGGAAATTTCTTTTTTTTACACTTGGCTTAGACAGGTGCACTCTTCTCTGGGTAAAAAACTGGCTGGATGGCCGAGCCCAGAGAGTTGTGGTCAACAGAGTTAAATCCAGTTGGCGGTCAGTCACAAGCAGTGTCCCCCAGGGCTCAGTTCTGGGGCCAGTCTTGTTTAACATCTTTATCAATGATCTGGATGAGGGGATCAAGGGCACCCTCAGTCAGTTTGCAGATAACACCAAACTGGGTGGGAGTGTGGATCTGCTGGGGGGGGGAGGGCTCTGCAGAAGGACCTGGCCAGGCTGGATCCATGGGCCCAGGCCAATTGGGTGAGGTTCAACAAGGCCAAGGGCCGGGTCCTGCACTGGGGTCACAACAACCCCACATAATGCTACAGGCGTGGGGAGGAGTGGCTGGAAAGCTGCCCGGTGGAAAAGGACCTGG